GGCCAGTTTTAGGTACTGCAGCCTCTCCTCCAGATCTCTTGAGCAGAACCCAAAATGAACCGCGCACCAGACCCCCAAATATACAGGGTGTCCCAAAAAACTGACATCATTTGAGATGTGAATATCTGAGTAACTACATGTCCTAGGTAAACGAAATTAAATAGGCTTCATGTTGAACAATACAAGCTTTATTTATATTTATTTATAACCAATTTTACAAAGCTTCACAAATGTAATATCTTCCGATACTGGTGGTATCCAGATCCCTTTGCCCCGCACAGACAGCCTTATTCTTTAAATTCTTTGTGCCATGTCCAAATCTGCTTTCCAGTTGGTGCATTTTTATTGAATTTTCTCAAAAATGCACGCTGCTTTGACTGTGTTCGAGCATATTCTAACACACAAAATGCCTTTTCATTTCTAGTGAACACCATGCTTCAACCTGAAAAAAAAAACATTAAAAATTAAACTTGGTTCGTTTTTACACATTTGGGAGAATTGGCTATGTTATTAGACTATGAAATGATGTCAATTTTTTTGGGACACCCTGTATTACCTGGGGCCGTTTAAATTATCTAAAGTATTGCTGAATAAAATTCTTTAACTGTTTTAGAAATGTAAGCATAAAGTGCAGCCTGCTTCCTGTTTCTGAATCGCAATTGATCGATCAGTCAGTCAGTCAATCAATTAGAACAATCAGAACAATTATCTGCCTCTGTATTGATTTAGTTGTATTGATTATGTAACCACATTATTACATAAATTTCCTTAACTTTGTCAGTAATGTAAGCTAAAAACACCTCTGTTTCCTGTCATTGAAACTGCAATCCTTTGCCTTTCTTCTTCATGACAGGCTTGTAAACCGAAGCCCTACACAGTCTGTATATCATATCATTACTGTTGGACAAAAACCTTGTATCTTCAAAAAACTTTAAAGGAGAAGGAAAACATTCTTAACTTTCAACCTTTCAAAGTCCATGCAACAATTTTATTCTAAGTAAGTTTACATTTCTGTTGGTGTATTTGTCATGAAATTTTGACACAGTGTAAAAAAATTTTAAAAATTAAAAGCAAAAATGGGGAAACAAGGTTTTGCTCAGACAGTGATGATATTAATGTAGCTGAATGCAGTCTTGTTGGTTTGCCCTGCTTAAACTGTCAGTAATATTGGAGACAAAGATTGGATACACAGCAAACTGTGGAGGCTGGTGATGGAAGGAAAGCTCTCAGAGGGCGTCAGCAGACACAATTACTGAAATAACCTACGAAGAGGGAGTGGCTGGAGACAAGCGTGCAGACATTAGTGTAGCCACTGGTTTTCCCACCTTTTATTTCTTTTGTTTTCTTTCCTCTGGTTTTTGGTATTTTCATAATACAGTAATGATCTAAGGCTGTACTTATTTAAACTGGAACCAGTTTTGAGACAAGTCTATTTTATGGGCTTTCTTTTCCCTTCTAAATTTCCTTTTATCTCAAGTTGAGGGTTTGGTATCCAATATTTATTATTATAGTATTCTTGCTATTGGTTATTTTGTATTGTAAATGAGAGGAATGTGAAATATTCTGGGGTCATTAAGGTTTACATTTTAACTAAGCGAGCACAGTAAAATGTCCTCTTGAATGTGAAGCTCTCTATAGACATTTGGAATCTATTTTTTGTGTAATTAAATGTATTTTTAAATTCTTTTATATTAGCAAGTACCAAATATCTCCTTATTAGGGCTTAGAACATTTTTTTATTTCTTTGGTTCTTGTAGTTTGAACTGTGGTGGCTGCAGATAGGCAGCTCAGCTAACTCTGTCTAGTTTCTTGTGTGATTTGGGTGTGGACCATAACTTATTCTGAAGCTTGAAATTTGGAGTGTATGTATACATAAATACATTTGGGGTGTGTAGATTCGAATTTAGGGGTGTATTGAGTGCTGTGATTTTCTTGTACTGGGCAGTGTGCTGTTGCACCTAACCATGGCACACCACAGGTATTTTTAGCCCTTACTGTATTTTCATAGCCATAGTAGGAGGCAGGAATGTTAAAGTTAAAGTATATCTTCTATTTTAAAAGGGGGCTATATGTGTTTATATATATATGACCTTTCTTTAATAAACTGTATGGTATTAAGCCATCAATTATGTCATCCATGTATGTTTGTTTAAGTGAACCTGTGCTGGGGAAAAGTGCTGCTAAATAGGGTTCTCCCACCCTTCATAATTAGGGAGTGGCATAGTCTGTATTATAGTTGGTAGTAGAGGCCACATTAACAACCACAGAAACAGTTGTAATCAACAGTCAACCAGGTGCCTGTGTTTAATCTTCTTCTTGTTCTACTTGTACAATAATTCCAGTGTGGCCGAGAGGAGGATAAGAACCCCTGTAGTCTTATTTTCTTTCAGTGTTTCTTCCTGAAGCTCTTTGGGCATTTTGGTTGCCCACGGCTTGTTTATTAGGGGTCTGCATTTCTGTAAAGCTGCTTGGGCACAGTGCCTGTGGTAAAAAGCACTAAAATTGAATTAAACTGCACTGAACATTTGCCATCTGATCCCCATAAACCAAGCCTGCATGTTATCAGATTTTATTTTTTTATCATTTCTACATGACTACTTTCCAGCCTCTGTTTACCCCTTAGAATTATACAGGCTGTTTTTGTTACTGTGCTTTGAAGGCTGATATATGTGGATGAGCTTTGTTCTGATTGGCTGCCTGTATTGTGCCTCATTTAAATGTACTGATGCACTCCTTATAACTTCAGCATGAATAGGTGTGGCTAAACTACTGTATGCAGAATAGTCGGATGTATGTAAATGTGTTTTTATGGCATTACAAAAAAACTGAATTCAAACTTGTCGAATTCAAATTTGTCAAAATCAAACACGTCTACCTCCTATTAACATGATTGCGCTGTGTTTTGGAGCAAATTTTCTTCTTCCAAGTAAATATTTGAGCTGTGATACTTTGTGCTTCATTTCTAACATGTTTACTGATAAAATAAAATTTCAATTCAACAACTAAAAGATGTATGAACACAAAACGGAGGCATTTTTGCAACCATGGGCATTAATGTTCACCACTTTCTAGTATTATTCACACAACAGCCCCTTTTTCTCCATTATAATCAAGGGGCCCAACTCTGATCTTGCAGATCCCCCTGGTCTGCACATTCTCCAACCATTTTCACCCCAAAACACCCGATGCAGTTCTTCAGGTAAGTATCAAACCATTTACGAGCTGGACCATATGTTTTGTGGCAGTTTTCCCTGTTAAATTTATAGCATAGATATAAATTAATAGTACAGTTTAAAAACTAAAATAGTTTGCTGTTCATATATATATATATATATACATATATATATATATATATATATATATATATATATATATACACATACATATGTGTGTGTATATATATATGCATGTGTGTGTGTGTGTGTGTGTTAGGGTGGACAACATGGACAGGCTGCTGACTGACTACAGCTGCTAAAGGAGAGCCCTACGCTGGCCAACTGTGATATTTTTACATAAATTGTTATGGTTGTAACAACAACATCAACACCACACAAGGGTTAAATAATAGGATGACTCATGCTGACCAGGGATATGAACTAACACAGTTAAAAGGCACATTTTCAGGTTGACTTTAAACAAACAAATGCAAATAAAAAAGGGAAACTCCACAGATTCTTCAAAATTTCTGTATAATTGCATGGTTAACGATGTGAACGAAGTCAGTCAGAGTGGTTTGGTGTAACATGCTTCATTCTACAGAAACTTGCAGAGTCAGAATTGTTTACAGTGGTGGTGATAGGAACCAGATGTCTACCTCCAAAAGCTTCCTTACAGAAAGTTTTTACATGAAATGTTTATGAATACTCTGCCTGAGACACTGTTTTATGGTAGAGTAAAATTTTGGTCTAAAATGTATTGTAATCAGTTTATTTGAATCTGTTCATGGTGGTGGGATACATGAAGGGTGTTCTAAGGCAAAACAGTCCCCAAAGAAAACTCTTTTTTTCACTATTTTACCATCATTAACATTACATATAAAACTCTGAAGACATGTATAGGTTCACTGGTGATTTTGGATGGTAAATAAACTGGCTATGTTTGTTTATAGCTCAACCATTATGCAGAATCATGCAGACATTTTGAAAAAACTGGTGGAATTCCCCTTTAACCTCCTCATGCCAAACACCCAGTATATGTCCAGGACATTTTTCCCAAAGTACTGTAGCTCTATAGAAGCAGGCGTGTCATCACACTCACTTTTGTGTGTTTTCACAGAACTCAGTCTTTGTGTTGGTTGACCATTTAATAGAATGTTTTCTTTTTTAATCTTAACTCAAACAAAAACAAACATGACAGCTGGTGAGATGGACACTCACTGCCTCAGTGACCAAATGAAATATTGTGTCTAAACTGCCCTGCACTTGTTTCAGAAATGTTTTTGTATGTATGTCCTTCGAGAAGATCCCTCTTGTGAAAGGTAAAAAAGGAGAAATGTTCAACATGAGCCCAAAGCTCCATTTTCTTGTGAATATCCCCGTTGTGGGACTAATAAAGGATTATCTTATCTTATCTTATCTTATCTTATCTTATCTTATCTTATCTTATCTTATGCAGAGGTCCAGGTAGTCCCAATAGTTCAGAAACTTTTTTCATGCATCAGCACATACAGTAAACAGAAAGTTCAGTGCTTTGTACTTTGTTTCGTGGTAAGAAATATGTTCATTTTTCGAAAACTCTCACATTTCATGCGCTCAAGTCCAAATGTCCGGTAGACTGATCACTGAATTTTACATGTTTCCCACTAAACAAAACAATAATTCACGTAATATGTTATTTAGCACGTAACAGAGAACATGTTTCCTAACAAAAAATAGTTCGTTTTTAAAGGGTCCAGTCTCGGGACTGAGGGGGTTAAATTGCATTGAAATGAACGCTTTTACTTTGAAGTGTGTTACTGAGCGCCGATGGGCGCTGTTCTAGAATGGCCCGGGGCGCAGAGCGCATGCGCAGTGGCGGCGCGGTGAAGGGCATTGGAAGCGAATGAGACGTCTGCGAAACGCTGGCAGCGCAAACTGACTTTAATATCAACACCCTTCAGCATCAGCACTGCGGGGCGGCTTCACTGGACTCAGGCGGACACTGACAGTCCCGCACAGCGCCGTCTTAATTCCTCCGTGTACAGGTTTGCGTTCTCCGCTGCCTTGGAAGGAAAGCTAGGCTAGTTAGCGATTAGCCGGCTGGCCGGTTATGTTATGCAGAATGTAGCCAAAGTCGGCTAAGCGAGTTAGCTAACCGACTACAGGGCTGCGTTAGAGTGAAAACGCAACACAGGATTTGGTTTATTTGCTTTTTTCCCTCTGAAAGACCTCATCTGAAATAGTTTCATATGTTGTTTTGCAGGCAGCTCAACGGTGCAGCGTTACTCTTAGAAACAGAACGACTAACCTCGCCTTTCCCTCAGCTTATTAAAGTTTACTGGCGACAGTTTTAGACATCCTGTAACCAAAGGGTGCACTGAGTTAGTTTCCATTCTGCGTTATCTTTAATGTTAGAAAAACTCGGGATAACAGTTTTGTAATATGTTGCACAAGGCTGAAATCAGCTTCTAATTGGTCGGCTTCTTGCTCGAATTTTCCCGTTCCACCTTAAATGATGCAGCAGTTAACCTAAGTTACATTAACTCCTGCACCCTTCGAGTGAAGTAGTCCCCGTTCCACCTTAAATGATGCAGCAGTTACATTAACTGCTGCATCATTTAAGTTACATTAACTGCTGCACCCTTCGAGTGAAGTAGTCCCCGTTCCACCTTAAATGGTGCTGCACTTATATTATCTTCGAACAAGGAGCTGGCCAATAAGAAGCTGACTTCAGCTTCGTGTAGGTTTCCGGGTCATGTAGTCATGTTTTTTTCCGTCTTTTTTCAAAGTTGCTGCTGCCACTCAAAACTGGACAGGCCATGTGCTGGGCTGCCTGTATTTTTGATTTTCTGAAAGGAGAGATTTAGAGCCCTTTTTCTGATTGATTTTGCTTTGTCATACTAATTATACACTCTGTGTGATCATATAAAATAATTTCTGTGTTGTTATAAAACTATACAGTTAGTTCAGAGAGAAGTCTCAGTTCTGACAGATGCATGTTGTTTCCTGGGTGTTGAATTGCAGTGGACGAGCTGAGCTCTGTCTCCCCTTGTTTTCTCTAAAGCCTTCCACTGCACTGCGGAGGAGCTGGACCAGGACTTGTCACTGGATGGGACAATAAACCTCATGACTGATTTGCCTAATTATGCAAGTTTGCTGATAGCATAAATTCGTGAGGTTCCCCAGTGCCCTGACCTGAATGGCTGTGTGCAGAGGGGGTGTCTCTTTTTGGGTGGGTTGCATCAGGAGCCATGGCAGAAGGCAGCCGTTAAGAAAACAGAGCTGGAGCATATGGCAGGTAGGCACACTTCCTAAGGGAGAGTTACAGGGATTTTTTAATTTGCCTGCATATTTTCAATATGTAAATAAAGTCATTCAGAGCTGGTTGATTTGAAATGCATCGTACTGGAGAATCCTGATGAGTCAGAATTGTTCACAGTGGTGATGATAAAAACCAGATGTCCAGAGTGTTAAACACTTCTAAAAGCTACCTTCCAGAGAACGGTACAGCTACATTATTGGATGTCTGAGGTATTGCTTTCTAATAGTTTTAAGATATGGTGGTGGTATGGTGAGTAGGAGTGGGTGGTATGGTAAAAATATAATACAGTATTAATAATTCTTACAATACATGATATATATCACAATATTTTGTTTTTCTGATCTTAGATCAACTGGAACAAACATATACCAGAGGTGCCACATTAAAAAAACACTACAAAAACTATGATGGTTTTTATTCAGCGTTTCACATAATGCACTGCACAATGTCCATGATATGCTCAGAAAAGCATATTGTGGTGTTGTATGTCATGATAATTGTAAAATGTTGCCATATTGCCCACTCCTGGTGGGCATAGAGGTTGGGGTGGGCGATGTGGTTAAAATACAACATCATGGTACTTTTTATAACGTATATTTAAAAAGCAAGTTGTGGTGTAATTCATCACGATTATGATAAAATATTGTGAGAGGCCCAACACCAAAGTGTCTCTAAAGTATTTGCACTGTTTTGCCATTGTAAACAGGGATGCACTGAAACATTTTAACTGAAAATGGTTCAACATGGCACTTTTGTTTGTTTGTTTTTTTTTAACCAAAATGAGGGTAAAAATGTCAGAAAAAGAGACTTAACAAATGATTTGAGTGATAATGAAAATGAGAAACCGTGAATAAAAGCAAAGCGTCTCATTCACCAACCGTTCTTAAGAAATTTCTTCTTAAAACCATCTCGCACAGATTTCACAAAGATTCTGACACTGACCAGTGATTTCTAATTGGGAATTTGTTATTGAGTGAGAACAGAATCTACACACACATCTAACCACAGTTCTGTAGTTTAGCGACACGTCAAGAGTTTAATGTAGACTTTTTCTCTTGACCTTCCTCAAGAACACGTTTAAGAAAAAAGCTTAAGAAGATATTGGTGAATGAGGCCTACTGTTTTTTTTCTTCTTTGCTGTCCTGCAGCAGTCAGTGCACACGCGTTCTGGCAGTTTGAGTAGGAGCAGATAAATGGTGGAAAGAAATGTCAGCCACGTGGAACTATTTCAGGGTTTCTGTGAGGTTGATTGTTGCTGTCAACTCCACTGTAAAGAAATTAGAAGTTGTTAAGTTTCTCTGCAGGGCACCATTTTACATCAGACGACTCTGACTGACTTTGTTTACATCACAATTATTGAATCCTGCAGAAATTAGATAATTAATATTTTATTTTTAAGTTTGAGAGTTCAAGCTGTTCATGTTGGCAGGTCTGTAATGTAGCCACATTTTTCTCTTTTACAGACACTTGACTCGCAGTTGAATGGCACCTGTAGAGTCCTTAGCAGCGCGTCATGGGCTTTGGCTCCCCCAAACAGCCTCTGTTATCAGTCTGTAAAGAAGCCGTCCCTTTCTCATCCCTTCCACCATGCCTGCCAGCCACAAAGAGACAGAGCACATAGTCTAGAAGAGGAATTTGAGGAGACCCTTAGCCTGTGTGTTCTTCTTAAACCCAACGAGACGGACGAACAACATACCCTGGTGGAGGTGCCCCTATTTGGACAAGTCAAGTTGGGCGAGTTCCTGGCTTTAGGAGCCAACAGACCCACTGACCTTGTTTTTTCTTTGACCACTGTTGACGGGTGGAGAGAAGATGACATTAGCGTTGTTAAAATGTCCGGGACTGAGAAAAAGCCCGTGTGGGAGCAGAGGGAGAGAGGCTCGTTCAGGAGTTTGTTTGAGACTGAAGGATGTCCAGCTCCATTCATTTTGGGCTCTCATTTCTATTGCTTTCACTGCCCTGGAATGGAGCATGTGCCTGTGACTGGAGATGGGCTGAGGATTGGACGTACCTGCCTTCCACCTTCCTTTACCTCTCTCTGCAGTCATGCTGAGAATGAGGGCATGGAGAGCGGTCCCAGTGAGAAGGACATGGAGAACGAGGAGAAGCTAGCTCTGATGTATGAAAAACTAAGGACTGAGGTAAAACAAAAAGCATCTTATGCTCATCCTGGTACTTTCTTGCTCCTGCTTCGTCTTCTGTATCATATTTAAATGGCTCTCTTCATTGTGTTTCAGCTTCCTGGCTTTTTTGTGAAGAATCATGATTACAGCATATATTCCATTGATGTCGAATTCATCAATGGTCTTCTCAACACCAAGACAAGGTGTGTTTATTATTACATTATTATTATTATTATAATAATGATAATCATTATTATTATTATTATTATTATTAATAATAATAATAATAATAATAATAATAATAATATATTATTATTATTTTTAATATTCAAATCCCATAATCAAAAATAATGACAACTATTCACTGAAAGGTGTTTGTAGACCTTTTATGCCTTTTATTCAGTATTTCAAGAACTCTGTGAGCAATAATTGAAAAAAACAAAACAAAAAAAAAACAACACTGTACCTTCTTTGTCTCCTTAGAGGCCGTGTGGCATACCAGCTGACCCTGTCGCTGTGGCGGTTGCTGTGTCTGTGCTATTATGCGGAGGCTCGGCTGGAGGTGCTGAAGCTAACGAAGCATCCCAGAGGACGGCTCCATCAAAGCACGCTGGAGGGTCAAGGGCCTGCCTTTCCACTCTCTACTGCTCCGCTTCTACAAGAAAGACAAGACTCAGCTTTACAGGTAGGACAGACTGTAAGCAGACTCGTTTGTTTCCCTGTGTTTTCAGTCTTCCTCTTGTCTTTGAATACACTGTTTATGTTCTCTCATATGTTGTCTGCTTGTTAACCCTTTAAGGCCACCACAAGCTAGAAGCTATTTCTGCCTTTTTGTCTGCTCTTCAGTTAATAATGCGATTTCTAAATGTTGTGTTTGATGTGTAAAGAACATAGGGCGATCAGAAATCTGATTCAAAATTTTCCCTTTTTGTTGGTCAAATATTCAAAATTCGTAATTTTTTTCCAAGAAAAATCATTATGTCTTAAAGAAAATAAATAGGATACGTAACTGCAGTAAACTTGATTCCTACATCCATGAGGGGGTGATAATTTATGCTTATCAAGCTCCCCAAAAGTACACAGTGTTTAAACCAGTGATTCTAAGCCTGGGGGTCGCAACTCGCTAGATGGTTGTCAAAAAAGGTACAGAGGCCTATTCTGATGTATCTTCTCAGTAAAATCCCCACCTCATTACAAGTTAAAGAGTTGCTAAAAAGCTGTTTGCAAAATTTCCCAAACAACAGCATAGTCCTCCTTCCATTTGGTAGTTATCATTTGCGGGAATGTTAATAACTACTGGAATGTACTAGAAGCAGCAGCAGAGCTTTAAACCTTCTAAAGCATATTTTCTGCATTCGGATGTGCATTTTATCACTGGATTCAGCTATTTTATTTTGACAGGTCTAAAAGATCATAATCCACTGCTGAAAATTTGGCGATTTTTATTCAGTTTGTGTCACAAACTACCACTTTGAACAAAAAAGTGTGAATTTTGTTGTCATTCATGTATCAATTATGCTTTATCATTTGTTCTGATTAAACAAGAGAATAATAAGCACTTATTAATCTCAATTGCAGTCTGAAAAACAGTAGGTCTAACAAGGAAATGAGCTTCATGCATATCTTACATAGTGATAGCAAAGACAATTGCACACACAAACTGCATGAAGAAGTAGCAGTGCGAAGCTATACAACCTTTGAATTTGTCCTCAAACATTATTTATTATTTTTTTTCCAGGACCTTCGATGCATTCTCTACCTTCTACCTGGGCTCTGATGGGCTTATACACTGTCATAAAGTGGAAAAGGTCAGAGCTTCTTTATTTTGCTTATAATGTTTTTCTTGTAGTCAAAACATTAAATTAATTGTTCACCAACATTGCAAATGTATACAATTCCTCTCCTCTAACCTCAGATAATGTAGATCAGCCAAGACATGCTTGGTGTCCTATCTTCACTTTAAGATATTAAGTTTGGCACTGAAGCTATGAGTCAAGGTGAACAGTAGTAGAAATCTGGGATTTCTGGGTCATCAATGTTTTTTTTTTATATATATGTTATAATAGAAGTCGTGGCTGATTTTGCATATGGACAGTTGTGTAAATTTGATTTATCTGTGAACCTTTCCTGTAAACGGTGGCAAATCTGGGACAGGGATGCTGAATCATGGCAATTGTGTGTGTGTGTTTTTTAATCTTTCAGGTAATGCAAGCTCAGCCGCCTGTGCTGCCCAAAGTGACTTCACTGCTAGCTGGGGCCCTGGTGGCCCTGGGGATTCAGGAGCATCGGCCCGCTCTTAATCTGCTGCCACTATTCCTCTCCTCCTTCAGACAGGGTCGAGAGTAAAGAAGAGAGCACAGGAAAGGCACTGTGTGGGAGTGTGTGGTTAGAGGAGCATGTGTTTCTGATGTGGAAGTGAGATTGAAGAGTAAACCTTCTCTTGGAAAAAAAACTGAAAAAGACAGAAAGAAATGACAAACCCATTAAACCAAGGATGTGATCAGCACCGTTTACAGGAGTAACAGTTGTACCATATCATTGTCAGTTATCTTACTTGTCTAATCGATTACGAGATACTGTGCTATGTCTCAGCTCTGTAGTACGTCAGTACGTCAGTACGTCAGCTGATGCCTACAGAAAGCCTTTCAGTGCTCTCAGTATGCACTGGAAATCAATGCTTCAGTATTGGCAGTTTTTCCTTCCCCATTTGCTTCCATTCTGTTTACTAAAATGATTAAACACTACCATGAACTACAGAACTTGTAGAATAGCAGTTTCTTAGTTCAGGAACATTTCAGGCATCTGTAATTAGGGAGTTTACTTGCATCCTTCATGAGAGTCAGCTGACAGCAAGCACACATCAAGAGGAGAGCACAGTTGTGTATTAATAAATGCCTAAGCAAGACTTTTCACTATAGGAAATAATTTATTGAGCTTGCAACAACATCTGTACCACCAGTTTTGTATATATCTTTCACTCATCTGGAGAAATCAATTGTCTTAACCTGTGTCCTGCGTTGTAGAGTGGCTTTGACTTCCAGCTACAAGAATTTGGGGAATAGGGAGCAAGTTTCAGATAAAAGCCAGTCTTTTTTTCTTATAGCAAATCAAATAGATAGATCCATGAAACATGAAGTAACTGTCTTCCTCCTTTTTGTGTGGTGCATGCCACCAATTGGACACGTTAGTCATTTCCGCAGTGGACATCCTTGAGGCTGGTTCCTGAAATGTACACATTACGTAGTAATGAGAAAATGTTCACTCCAGTTCAGATATAGGAATATGCGCTTTGGGATGAAAGGTAGTTCAGTATCACTTGTAAAGAGACGTACACACAGATATCAAACTTCAGCCTTCAAAATGTTTGTTTTTCTTCTTTTGACTTTGGTCTGGGATTAATTACATTGAGATGGAGCTGCTAGATGTTTTATTTGGTATTATATTTTGTAACCCCAATTGTCTGCATTGACCTTATTACTTATTTCATTACAGAATGGAGTCAGTTTTTTTGGGAACACTTCACTGAAATGCAGCATTTGTACGACAACTGATTTAAACCTACATTAACATTTAAGAAGGCTTAATCCAATGAGCATCAGTTGTCATAAAGGCTGCATCAGTCAGTTTCATCCAGAAAGTGTTATGACAGTTGATGCTTGTTGGAATAAGTCTTTATAAACATTTCAATATAAATATGAAAGGCTTATGTTATGTAGGTATTACGTAGCCTTATGAATGCTGCTGTACAGTAAAGTGTTAATGTTTTTTCTAACGCACAAAACAGCCACGTGAGTGCAGCTATGATTGAAGTACAAAGGTACTGTATAGGTTACTGCTTATATAGTACTATAAACCTGAATGGCCCTGCTATAGTGATCTGCTGTACATAGCAAATGCAGAAGCATATCTGTCTGAATCCATTTCTGCTCTGCTTCACTGTGTTTGTGATCTAAGACAGTGCTTATTTGGATTAGTTCAGGGACTGGTTACAGTCAGCTTGTTAGCAATTGAAGACAGAAGGTCTTATGAGTCTTATTACAATGTAATGGATCAGTTATGCCTTTGTAGGGCTGGTTAACACTGAACTGATTTCAGCCAAATTGTAACCCTTTTCTGTGACCTCTGTATGTTTATTAACAGATGCCTTGGTAGAGTTGTACCAACCCAGAGCATGCTAGCAAGACTTTGATTGGGAAATAGCACATTTGGGAACCATTCAGTCAAAGAGATGATGCCAAAGTAGCCTATGAGTTTGGCAGGGTTTTAACCCTAGTCTGGACAAGAAGTGGTTCTTGTTTTCCTGTTAGCCTTTGAATCTGTCAGATACGACAAAGATTCAGTTTCTGCCTCTATTTACAGTGATTCACAATCCAAGATCAGACATATAGGCATATATTAGCTGAGATATATCCTTTAACACTGTGATGGTGTTAAAACATTTCATCTTACTTTACTTTCCCAGTAATTCCAACATGTGAATTTATCAGCATATGTTCCTTTATTGTTCAGTGTTTTGTTCAAAGCCAGTTTTGTGTGACAAACACTGTAAACAAGTACAAATTACATGTGCACATGATAAAAGATGTAGAATGAGAACAGAACATGTATGATATGTCTGAGCCATCGTTTCCCTGAATACATCCGTCTGCTTGCACTTTTCAACTGGCAATAAGGCGTGACGAACTGTTGCGTAGTCTGCTCTTTAGATAACTGAGAAGTGGTAGCGTTCATAAAAATCAGAGAAAGAAAATCAGCTCAATCCTTGGTCTGGTGCTGTGATGCTTATTTATTTGCTGTCAGTAACCCAAATTCTGGTATGAAATTGTGTGTGAGTAATAAAGTGTACACAGACACTGTTTATCACATTCTCTGTCATGGTTAATACAGTGGAAAAGTACCAAAAGTACTGTGGTGGATTCCAGCTGTCTCGTAGGGACTCCTAGGGAGTTTCTAGCCTAAGACATAACTAGACTCTAAACCAGTAATTCCCAATCCCACACTTTTTGTGTTTTCCCTACCCTAACATGCCCGACTCATCACATGATCAGTTTGTTAATGAGGTAGTTAGTTAAATTAGGTGGGCTGGATGAGATAAAGCACAAAAATGTGCATAGTTGAGGGGTCGTCAGGACTTATCCTGCTCTAAACCACCCAATTTTGAGTTCAGTCAGATCAGTTTAGTTCCAGTTTCTATTCTGTAGGGCTGTCATTCAGCACACTGGTCATTTCCCTGCTCAAACAAACCTATTACACCTATCAGTTAAAGGGGAATTCCACTGAATTTTTTTTGCATAGTTGAATCTTAAGATGTAAACAAAGTCATTCACCCTGATGAACAAAAAAGTACCTGCATAGAACCTTTATTTTAACAGTGTGGTGGTGATAGGAACCAGACGTCTGAAGAGTTTAACGCCTCAAAACTCTAAAAACAGAAAGTTAAGACATGAAATGGTTACGAATATGCTGCCTGTTGCCTGAGACATGGTTTTATGATACCCAAGATCAGATATTGGCCTAATTTGAAATAAACACAGACCATTGTTTTTACAGATTTACCACTATTTTAGCATTATCAACTTTACATATAAAAACTCAGGAGACACGTACGTTCACTAAGAGATCCAAGTTGGTACATTTCTCTACAATGAACCATTTCACGTAAGACCACTCTGAATGACTTATGTGTTGACCAGGTGCATTTGAACAGGAAAAAATCACCAAAACTGTGCTGGACTCTGGCCCTCCAGGACCAGAACAGAATACCCCGGTTTAGACATTTCAAGAAAACCACCTGCATTCAAGGAACACTACAATGTTTTTAAATAGATAAATGCTTCATTTGTAGCAATTTAAAGACATTTTTTGGTAAAAGGTGTGCTTCTAACATAGAACACAAAAAAGCCTCCCATTCTTTTCTGCTGGACATGGAACAAAAAACATTCAATTTTATCAAGTACCACTAACACTTTGTTGTGCTAGTACATCCATTGTATTGTAAGGCTTGATGAACAACAGAACACATGTAATGTTCTAAGTCACTTCAGGCTATTCAACTGCTCCACATGCCCATACAGCTGTAATACTAGCTGTCAAGCTAAGCTAGGTCAATAATGATTGTATGAAATTCGAGGAATACATGAAATACATATTAACACAAAAACCTGACGATGTGATATTGAACTGTTTATGTGGTTGTGACTGTACCATGCCTTACTATAGAAGCTCACTCTTCACAAAAAAAAGTTAAAAAAAATCTGAAATGAGGAAAGTTTTCCTTCAATGAATAGTAACGTTAAGCAGTGTAGTTTATGAGATGAAGTTACTCAAAACACTGAGATGAGTTTTACAGATGGAAAAAAAAAAATCTGCAGAGTTTATACTGTTACTTCAAACAGATGATGTCAAAATGTTAAGATATTTGGGATTATGTTTTATTGCAGAACAGTCGCATTCACAAGCAGCAGATAGTTTAATAGTTTTAAATTACAAAAGGAAGGAAAACGGTAGTTGCTGTGCCAGGGAGAGTTAAGCAAGGGGACACAGGGTGATGAAGCTAGTTACACATGACGGTTACAGATAAATCAGTTACAGCTGTGATTTACATCGTGCAACCTATTCTTCTGAAAAAAAAAACAAGCACTTGGACCTCTTCAGGTGACTACTGTTCTGCCTGAAATGAACAAAGGACACATTTATTTCATGTATGCATGATAGTAACGTTGTATTGTAGCTGCTAATATTGCCACTATTAAAAACAAGTCATTACAACAATATACAACCTAATTTACAACAGACATTACAAAGGAAGCCTTAAAGATATACATAAGTTCATTAAAGAATGAATCTGGATGTGAGACATCTGGTCCCAAAAACATGGTCTACAGAGTAGATTAGATACGGTTCACGACAAATGGGCATCAATGGCTATTGCACACCAAGTGAAGAGTACAAAGAGGAGTCCCCTTCACAGCAGAATCCAGCTTCTCCATTGCCTGTCTGATTCGCTGGTTCACTATACACCGATCAGCCATAACATTAAGACCACCTTCTTGTTTCTACACTCATTGTCCATTTTCTCACCTCCACTTACCACAGAGGAGCACTCTGTAGTTCTACAGACTAGTTCATCTGTTTCTCTGTATACTTTGTTGGCCCCCTTTTACCCTGTTCTTCAATGGTCAGGACCCTCACAGTATGAGTGGATCACAGACACATCAGTCCCGTTGGAGTTTTTAAACACCTCAGTGTCTCTGCTGGACTGAGAATAGTCCACCAACCAAAACCATCCAGCCAAAAGCGTCCTGTGGGCAGCGTCCTTTGACCACTGATGAAGGACTAGAGGATGACCAACACAAACTGCAGCAACAGATGAGCTATTTTCTCTGACTTTACATCTACAAGGTGGTTGATCGGTATATGTAGAGTCACTAAGAAATCACTGGAACATTTGAATTGGTAATGATGTACTTGGACATTAGGAGTTCTCTGAAAAAGCCTTGTGTGTGTTGGGGAAACGTTGAGAGTTGTAGTCTGGATCTTCATTAACTCTTTTTTTCAAGTCATTCTTAACCTAAGAAGACAAAGACAAATCTTTTTAGAAACTCATCACTCATATACGACTATTAAAAAGTTTGGAATCACTGTCTTAACGCTGATGCTAAGACAGACAGTTGCGCCACTCGTAAGCCCTTAGAATCCTTAACATTGTAACATGCAAACTATTAAAAACAGAATTGTATCTTGATCTCAGAATTGAAAATGGTATCAGACCTAGACCTGAACATATGCATGTCATTATCCCTCTAGTGCACATGCATGTAAACATATGATATAGCAACTTCTTATTTTTGCTGTATCAGGAAAATTTATTGTATGGAATAAAACTTTTGTGTAAAATCAATTTTGTGTATTGATCAGTGGTGGACGAAGTACACAAATCATGTACTTAAGTTAAAGTAGAGATACCCAAGATAAAATATTACTCTAGTAAAAGTAGAAGTTCCTCCCTTTAGACCTCCACTTGAGTAAAAGTACAAAAGTATTTGCCTAAATGTACTAAAGTATCAAAAGTAAAAGATTAATTATGACTCTGATGTCCTATTACTGTTTTTGTACAAGGCTCTCGCTTCATCAACTCATTTTGGTGAAAATACTCCAGTGTCACTCTTCCTAAACCAATCTTTTAATAGAATGTCATTAATTAGTCTGACGCTGATGTCTATTAAAATTATCATAAGCACAAAACACTGAAGGCAAACAAGTTCCGAGTGGCTCTGAAATAACTTTTTGCAAACAGGCAAAGTTTCAGTTTAAGATTTATTTGCAACTTAATTTAAATAAAAATGAGTTTAAATTTAAACAAGTTTAAGTTTAGTAAAAACTTTAAACACAGGTTCACAAATGAGTTTTCCTTTACTATATTGCATCTGCAGGTCTCTGTTCATAAAACAAATTTACTATAAAATGAAAGAGTTTTTGTACAAATTCAGAAAAAAGAAACATGCCAGTCATATTTCTCTATTGTGGTTTATTACCCTGGCGCTGTACCCTGATTGGTGTTCTTGCTTCGTGCTTCTTTCGTTTTGTATTTGAAATGTTACGTTTTTATACACACATAAGATAAAAAGAACGACAGATTTTGCATAATGTAGTGGAGTAAAAAGTAAGATATTTGACTTTGAAATGTAGTGGAGTGAAAGTAAAAAGTCACCCAAAATGGAAATACTTCAGTAAAGATACACAAAAAAAACTACTTAGGTACAGTAATTACATTTACTTTGTTACTGTCCACCACTGGTATTGATATAAATAAACACATTAGTTTGATAAAGTTTATGTCAAAAAGACAAAAGTAAAATAAACTGCCACTAAAGCTATTCAGAAAGCAAAGTAGAGGTAAAATATAAGTTGTATTTGGATCCCTTGTCACCTGTTGTGTATAGGCCTCCTGCAGTTCTGGTGCTTCCAGCTCCCCCTGCAGGCTGTCTGGATTAGTGACAGGGCGCACTCCTACTGATCTGGCAGCACGACTCACAGCCTCAGAGAGAGAAAGGTGTGGTCCCTCACCTTGAGCAGTCTATCAAGCACAGCAAAGAGCAGTATGACAATGAAACACACACATACTGAAGTCGTGTCTGCCTTTACAACATTAAATATTCCATTATATGATTTCCTGACCCTACTTCAAAAGGTAATTTATTGCATACAAAGATAAACAAAGCACCAACCTTCCTCCTCTTGGCAGGCATTCCTTGAAGGTAAGCATCGGAAAGTGGAGGCTGAGCCTTCATTTTCCTCTGAGACAGCATGTCATGCCTAATGATGGGCACCCACTCCTAAAAACACACATGCACGCCATTTTGTCAGTCATTCAGTACAATATCAGGTATTAAGGTGGCTGTACACTTCAAACAACAAAGGAACTAATAAAAAAAAAAATAATTATATCAAACACTGAGTCATATATACACTCAAAAGAACTCCTAATATCTTTTACTATTACATGAGATGCTGCATGTATCGAAATCTGTAAGTAGAACTCTAATTCTACATGCAGTGCTCCATGCATTTGTCTTATTTGGACCAAATGTAGATAGGGTGAGGTCTCTAACAAAAGACATGGCATTTAGGAGTTCCTACTGGGGTCCCGCACAAACCACACCATACACACTCAAAACAACTGTATTTCTTACTAATAAGACATCCTTCTGCTTAGAAATCTCTTCATTTGAGGTATGCAGCCGGCTTAGGCATTATACGAGAATTCCATTCAAAAGTATGATAGGAGAAATAATCAGTGACATGCTTACAGGTGGTACAGACGCTGCCCATGGCTCCGCCTCCGCACCAGAGTCCTCCCTCCCAGCAGCTGCCATTCCAGCTGGTCCTCGTGTCTCCCCTGACAAGGGCCTGTGAGGGGGGGTGAGATCTACGGCTGGTTCTCTATTATCGGCACTTTCTCCTGAAGATGCCATGGCCTCCTCTGCAGTGGTGGCAGGAGCTGGAGACAGACCTTCTTCCATCTATAAGTCACAGTGAAGAATCACAATTACACAATTCAATACATACAACACAACACACATACAGAAACTGGACCCATATTTATCAACACATCACAAGGTAAATATATCACTAGCAGTTAAAGTGTTGATGTAACTATGCAACAGTGCAACAGTATATGACATCCAGACATGAGCTTGTCCAGCATAAAATAATTAAGTGGCTTCATAGTGCAACAGTGTATGACATCCAGATGCGAGGTTGTCCAGCATAATCAAAGACAGATACCAGGCTATATATTAGTGTTGGCTAAAACTGATGTATTCTCCTATAATCTTGTGAAGTGGGAAAACCTTTCATGAGCATGTCAACACTGGACACTTGCTAGTGTAAAAGGGGCAGTATCCTACATTTTTCTTGTATTTTACTATTTTTCCTGTGGTTCACATATATTGTTTGCGATTTTATGTCCAGTCATAATCAGCCATAATTCATTTTTTACATGATGGTTTCCAACTTCACTTTTTCCCTTAGAATTAAACATGTTGTTTTTGCTATTGTGTCTTTAGGACCAATGTGTGTAAGTGAGCTCTGTTCTGACTGCTTGCTCTGAATTGTGCTTCATTCACTCTCATTTTAATTTCACTGTGAACAGGAGGGGTTAATCTGCTGTGAGCTAACTAGATGTATATATGTAAATATGTTGGTTTTTGTGAGATCACAAAAACACAATTTAAAATGGGCTGCTTTTACAGCTTAGTTCTCATAATGGACTGCAGGATTGAATTGTAGGTTTTGAAACTTAAACAACATTTACATTCTACATAAACCTCAGTTTTCCATTATGTGGGCCCTTTAAATCAGAGGGGTGCAATTTTATCTGCAAAGTGCCAGTGTAGCTATAGGTTTTCATTCCAATCAAGGAGGAACACACCTGATTCCACTTTAATCAATTAATCTCAGTCTTCCAATGAGAGTCCACACCCGCTACCTGCATGCTACCATACTATACATACTGCACTACTGCACCATTATTTGTAGTGTACTACTTCATGCACTGTTTTGTATGGTAATATGTGCTTTTTGGTGCAATTGTTGGAATGAAAACATGAAGCCACAGCGGCCCTTTGTGGATAAGATTGGACAATCCTGCTTTAAATGGCTTATGGGAAAATACTCAGTGACAGAGAAGTTGGAATCTGAACCAAAACTTAATATTACTAAGATTTAAGGTTACACTTTGTGTTATATACATTGTGAAAACATATGAATATCAAATACTAGTATATCAAAAGGTAGCACCTTGATATACTGATACACTCATTAAATGTTTCTAGTAGCAGAAAATCTACTACTATTTATGGATGGTGCGCTTACATTTTCTTGTGCTCAGGGAAAAAAATTGAGACTGTACAGTCTCCACTTTCATCATTATTTGCTGGATGTTGCAAACTGAGCTAGTTATAATCAAGAAAATACTGACTATCGACATCTTATGGAAATCTGTGGGGCAATGCCACACAATAGAGCCATTTAAAAGAGCATCGTCCCAGTATTTCAGGCCAACTATTGACACTCTTTTCTTAAAGAACGTTTACTCAGGGGATAGAGCACAGTATATGGCAGAAAAATGCTTCATGTCTGCATGATTCATCATGATTGTGGCCTTCTAAACAAGAGCAATTCATTTAGCTGTACACTTGTCAAATCAATCATGTATTTCCAGCTATAAAAAGCACTACTAATCAAATGAAAGCTCTTAACATTTAGGTGCTCACCTCCACATTCTGGCTCTCAGTCTGCTGAACTGCTTGGCTATCTGATTCCACTCTCACAGCAGAGTTGGGCTAGAAATAAACAATACGAAACAGATTTATAGATATTTTCATCAAAATATGTATACAAAGATGCACTTAAATGGTTATATACGTTTTGAGGGGGGCATTCATATTAGAAGCTGACCTGTGTATAGATAACATAATGCTGGATCTGGTTCTCGGTGACTGGGTTATGGTCTAAGATCACATGGAGCCTCATAGACATCATACTGGTCAGCCAGTTCACTAGACTGGGATTCACCTCTGCAGACATCCTCCTCTGTACACACATGCACACACACCGAAGGACAAGTTTTATCAACATGTGTCTTCAGTTTAAAACAGAGAAATCCAGAACTGTGCAAAAGTCAGAGACCACCCATTAATCACTTAACTACCATTCCCTATAGTACAAGTAATTCAATTGTCAGGAGACATTTCTGATGAAGGAAAATCCACTTGCACAAAGAAGAACATCAAAAGAAAATAAGTAAAAAAACAGGAGTTTCCAAAACTCCAAAGGTTCAAAAATGATTACAAGATGTAGAGAAAATGGGACTCCTAACAACTGACCTGGTAGACCACCAAAACTGTCCCCATCAGATAAACACCACTTAAAACTTTCATCTTTGACAGAGAGGAGAAAATTAAGCTCCAATCTTGATTCAGATCTGAAAAAATCCACAGGTATTTCGGTCCATCCTTCCACTGTGAGAAGACAACTCAACGCTATGAGTCTGAAAGGATGGGTAGCTGTCAAGCAGCCTTTACCGAGAAAAGGAAATAGATAACAAAGAATAACATTTGCAAATCAAACAAAGAAGCTGCTGGAGTCCAAAACAAGGGACTGTCCAGACCTCAACATCACTGAATGTGTTTGGGATTACTTATATCCCATATGTCAAACACAAGGCACGCGGGCCAAGTCAGGCCCATGGCACAATCCTATTCGGACCGCAAAATTATTTTAATTTTTTATTATTACTAGCCCGTTTCACCCTGAGATGCACTACAGTTCCCAGTAAGCACTACAAACAAAATGTGCGTTCCGACCCTCTTTCACCAACAACAATCTACGATCCAGCACTTACACAGGAAAAAAAGATGCCTGGTGTCTACTTCAAGCAAACAGGCAGTTTTAAAAAACTACGTGAAACAATTTATTTTATTTAGAATTACTTTTAAGTATTCAATGTCTGTTTAGCTGTTGCAGTTTGGGCATATTTTGAATAAACAATGGCCCCTTTGGGTGAAGTCAAAATGTTAAGTAAAAATGAAATAAAACCTAGCTTGCCCACAGATTTGCTGAGATTTTTTTATATGGCCCTTTTAGTGGTTGAGTTTGACACCCCTGACTTATATCATGAAAAGCAGAAAACGCAACTGACGTCTAAGACTAAACATATGGAGGTGTGGAAAAATACCCCTACAGATTTCTTTGAAAAACTGAAAGCAAGTCTTGAAACGAACGGACATTGTAATAAAGGCAGAGGGTGGACACACTACATGCTGAAAGAGCTGATTGCATTGCTGATGATTACATTTAGTCGTTAAGGCTTCTGTGTAATTTCTGTTTAATGTATGTTTTCTGAAAACTGAATAACTTGTATTTATGTAATACAGGGTGGTCGCTGACTTTTGTACAATACTGTACACTTAAGGAAAATTAACTACACTCTGACTGCTAATGCTTAGACATTTAAAAGAAAATCAATTATGTATATTTAAGACATTATCAAGAGTATAAAGAGTGTAAACTAACAATTCGGTGGTTGATAACTGCAGTAAGAGCCCTCTGCTCTCCTCTTAAACAGTACAGATTGAGGGCGAGACATTCAAACAGACCCTGAGTGCACAGAAACAGCAAACGAGGACCAAAGGTGTGATCTGGAAAAAGAGAAAATAGTCATTCAAGCACAAAATACTTCACTCCAAAATAAGTGAACTAGGGCTGAACGATTTGGAGAAAATATCTAATTGCAATTTATTTACCAATATTGTGATTGTGATCCAAATTGCGATTGTTTTCTATGAAATAAGATCAAGCCCTGTTTTTATTGGCCAAGATCACCAGCAAATCCAGTTCTTCAGACTTTTAGCTTTAACAATGAATTAGTATTATGTATTGTGCCAGACTGCCAGTTAGTTGTGGCTGTGATGTCACATTTGGTTGCTTCTTGTTTGGTCTGACTCATCTAAGTTCTGTGTTACTAGGTTAACTTTCCCCACTTAAAATTTGTTAACACAACACTCCTGATAATCTAAACTATGATAAACATTGTAGCTCTTGCGATTTGAAATTGCAATTTTGATATAAAAACAATGAATCTTTCAGCCCTAACAAGAACACTGCTGTGGATAGAACAGTATGTACCTGTACAGCGGAGTATGTGTGTTGCCATCTGTGTGAACTGCTGTCTGAGGAAGGACATGTTAGTCTGGATGATGTCCACCCCCTCTCGCACTGTAACTGCAGACTGAAACACACAGGCCACAGAAAACATCAGGGTTACTGAGTTCATGGTTTGAAATGACAATACCTGCATGTGTTAAATACAGACTTACAAAGCTCTCAGCGATATACTCCTCCAGCCCATTGATGAGATCTTCAGCAGCAGTCTACAGGGGAACATTAAAACCCTCAATTAAACCAATAGATAATAAATGAGACAGTGCTTTTATTATGTGTCATGACTCAAAGTATATTTAGGGTTTTGAATGATTTTGTGTTAAGAAAAGTATGCGACCCAATCAGTGACACCTTCCCTCAAACAACAAGAGCTCTACATCTCTTCTACATTCATAGGCAGCACAAGCCTCGGCAAATGTCTGAAAAAAGGTCTTCCTCTTCTATAAACTTTACCCAGGGCATGTAAATGACTTTCAAAATGTCAGAATCATATACTGCCAACACTACCCAACATTTTCTGGCTTGCAGCTGGGTTGTTTGCAGACATAGCGGTGTACACACTTGATTGCACATGTGACTGCAGATGAGGCTCACGCATTATCATCTCACTGCTTGATGAAAGAAAGAAAAAAAAAACACACGAGAAGTGTCTTTCAAAACTGGAGCCAAACTGGAGCTTTAGCTGTAGTTGTTGCTGCATAAATTTGTACAGAAAAAAAGAAAGAACAAAGAACAAAAAATATTTTTCAATCAAGAAATTGATTTTGGGGCTTTTCTTAGCCCTGTACTCCCTCCTGTTTTTTCTTGGTCCAAACAGAATGCAAGTGGTCATTTCCAGCACAAAGGAGAAAGCAGCCACAATATTCACGGAGATGCTGCTCCAAACCTAGCCGTAGTGGTGGTGAACAGTAATCTCAGACAATATTTGCTGATGATTTTTTTCTCCAACAATCCCTTTACCATGGTTGTTATTATTTTGGTTTCCAGCCCCCCCCACAAATAACCGGGCTGAGTGATTTGTGCAGACTGCGAAAAAAAGTCTGAAAAAAGAGGCAAATACTACCGCTCAGCAGTATTCGTGCATGTTCACTGGACAGACTTACGGCAATGTTGGCATCAGTGGGCTCTCGGCCCTGTAGGTAGTGCTCAGTGAAGAAGGCTGTAAGTTCGGGCTGGATACGACTCAGAGGCTGAGGATTGCCATGTAGCAACAGCACCATGTCCACCATGGAGAAACTCTGACAGACCAGAGACAACAGGTCTCCAAAAAAGCCTGCCGCAGAGACAAGAGGAACATAAGAAGACTCATATGAAACCAAAAGCTAACAAAACTGTCCCAGACCCACCTAATCAATAGCGCCTGATCAGCACATCTAAATATAATGGCTGCTGATTCTTTAAAATGATGCAACATATCTGATTTAGTTCATATTGTGCAGTTTCTCTTTAATAACTGTTACACTCTGAACCTGGCCCTACCACTAAGACTTTGGACTTTGGACAACATGTACTTAGCTCGAATTCCACTCACAACTACTTACCCACTGCATCGCCAGTCCCAGGTGTGAAGAGATTGCTGGTCTGGGACAGCCTCTGGATGAACTGGGCAATGCTTTCACTGTTGCCCTGGCCAGCCCCCAGAGAGCCCATCATGGTGGACAGCACACCTTGCACAATACCCGTGAACAGCTCAGGGCTCAGTGTCTCCTCTGCTCCACTGGGGGGCTGAGGAGGGTTTGGGGGTGATGGTGAGGGGCCAGAAGGAGCAGCAGGAGGCGGCGGAGGCTGCTGGTTTGGAGGAGTGAACACAGGCTGATTGGTCTAGAAAGAAAAGCAGTAAAATCTAATGAAAAACCTAGAGAAAAAAAATTAAATATCAATGAAATGCTGGGTTTGTTTGAAAATACAAGCAAGGATGATTCTTTTGTAGAGTTTACATGCATTTAGAGGTAAACTTTACTGACCTGGATGAAATCAGTTAAGCCCTGGATGAAGGCAGGGACACCAGGCACAGTTACAGTGATGGAAGGTGGGCCTCCAGAGACATTCCCACCTACTCCAGCTGCACCGCCCAAGAGAGAGCCTAGGAGCTGGCTTAGGTTTCCCTCTGTGCCTCCTTCCTGAGACTGGCCCACGGAGGCTGTGCTGGTGGTGTGAGTGGATGTCTGGCCAGACGTGCTGGCTGACGTGGGAGGAGCATTTGAGGAGGAAAATGCAGAGGAGGGTGAAGAGGTAGAGAAAGAGAATGAGTGGGAGGAAGAGGTAGTAGACATTTGATCACCTAGGAAGAAAATGTGTCAGTTAGTTTATAGCACTGACTTCATGCCAATTTGTCCCAACTCAATGGTACACAACACTGTACTATGTCAGATATGCAGGTCGTCATAAACTAAGACACTGATTTACAGGAGTGTGAGGACTTTTAGAGAAACCTAGACAGGAGTTGCCTATGGAATGCATCTCACCTGTGTGCATCGGCATTAACAGCTGCCCGACCAAACCACTCACCATCTGAGTGAGAGGAGAGGGAGCCACAGGGTTGCCCTAGTGATAGAATGAAGAGTTGTGAAGAAAGCCATAGATAAAGAAAATATTGCTCACTTGAGGTGTTGCACTACAAATGAAGAGACATCAAAGCCAAATGAACCAGAAGTATTCATAATATGCTACGTTCACATTACAAGCCTCATTGCTCAAATCCGATTTTTTGCTCAAATCCGATCTCTCTGACACGATGATTCACACTAGTTTAGGTAATTGACTCAAATCTGTCATTAATGTGAACGAACCGGCGTCCTGAAATGACCCGCATGCGCACATCCTACTCAGTAACGTCACATAATGAATCGTGTGCATCTCGTGCATCATCAGCAAACAAATTAACGGTCAGAATGAGCCTTTGCTGCGAAGATAATTAACTCTGATCAGCTCTCATCTGTTCTTTATTAGAGCGAGAAGAAGGCGAAAAAGGTGATATGTGTTGCTTTTCCACCATTTACAGGCTTTAACCTCTGTTAAAGCTGCCATGGTAACGCTGAATGTTTCTGTTGGTGCAAGCGCAGTAGAAAAAAAAACAAAAAAAAACACATGAATTCCGAATCGAGCGTTCTCATTAAGGTCGCATGGCCACGAATCGGACAGGTATCTGATCTAGGACCACATATGAAAGTCACACAGGTCGGATTTGAAAGGATCAGATTTGCGTGTCCACACAGCCCTGAAAACATCAGATCTGAGTCACATTAGGGCAAAAAAATAGTATTTGTGCCACTTCAACCTGGTAATGTGGATGTAGCCATAATGTCTCACCTGTCCAGGCTGTTGGCTGGCTGTGGGGGGCACTGTTGCCCGAAGGTTGATGGTAGTCCCTCTAGTGCCGGCAGGCTGGGGAATCCGTGGAGAGAAGGAAGGCCGAGTGATGACTACTCTGGCTTGTGGAGGGGGAGGAGCGGCTGGGGCTTCTCCATTCTGGGCAGTTGCGCCAGGAGCACCAGCCTGTTGCCCATGGTGGCCAGCTGAAGCTGCAGTAGCCATGGCAGCAGCCTGTTGAGAGATCTGATGCACAATGGCCTGCATGAACTCCGGAGGCAAACCTGGAATATGGATGGGTGGAGTGGTACCTTTGGAGAAAAGAGAAGACGTGTTAAAAATAAAACTACAACTACTAAAGAGGAAACGCATGTTACTACATTGGGAGAAACCTACACATGATGTGCAGCGTACTACTGCTACAATCAACACAGCAGCAAATGGGTTTCTTGGAAATAAGCCATAATTGCTAGCTGAGATCACAGCCCCCATAGATTGCATTAAAACCTATTAACATCAGCATGTTTGCAGTTGGTATTCACTATGAGGAGCAGTGGACACTGACCAGTCTGTCCAGCAGCGTTGGGATTCTGTTGGCCTGGGGCCTGAGCTCCACTGCCTGAATCTGTTGCACAAAAATGCACAGATCAGTGGCTAGCATTGCACTACTGCCCCCCAGTCCGGGTCTGAGAGCATTCCCCTCTATAGAGTTTCTCACAGACCAGGAATGGACAGCTGGACTCAAATACAGTGCTAAAAACACTGGGGTTTAAGCTGAAGGCACACACAGCTGGCAAAGACATACCATCCAGGTTCATCTGCATCATGACCACAGGCTCCATGGTCTGATGAGTAATTCTGATCACTCGAGGAGCCCCCTGACCAGGCTGCTGATTGACTCCATTTGGTGGAGAGGGTGGTGCCTGTGCCTGACCCTGCTCCTCTGATTGGCCATGTGGTTGAGATGTTGGAGGCTGACTCTCACTCGCCTGTCTGCCATTAGATGTCATTGTAACAGTGGTGCCGATGTTCATCTGTTGAGAACAGGTATGCCAATCACATAGCATGGAAGAAAAACACCTTGAAACGACAATTATGTTATGCACACAATAACACGACTAGGTTCTCAGTTTAGTCTAAGAAACTGGTCTGAATCGAGATATTTACAAGAGCTGCATAAAAGTCAGTCCATTTATAACCTTGTTTACATGCATGCAAGGATAATCAGGATGCATGCAAGGATAATCAGACTTTAAAATGTAAAACAGCCCTTCAGGACATACCTAAGTTTACCCCTATATAAATGTCCTGTTTAAAAAAAATATTTGTTCATTTTTCTCCTTCTGTTGAAATATCTAATGCAGTTTGGTGGTACTGCCAGATGGCATTAGGCCATGTTTGTTTCACCACAATATATTTACATTCAACTTAACATAATTGTGTGTGTGTGTGTGTGTGTGTGTGTGTATATATACCACATATTACTGTGGTAGTTACTTGCAAAAATAAAACACATTTGGGTCAAGCTAATTTATTTGACCTACGGCAAGACCAACGGAACTGACATAGTTAGCAGTTAGCTTGTTACGTGTATATTGTCAGTGCCATAGTCAATATTAACCATTTCTCTTTTTTTATGGAATTCATGACTGCTAACAAGCAGAACAATTCCAGATTTTTTTTAATGCTTATTATGTTGCATGATTATACAGTCAAGTAAATTTGATAGACTACATTGATTACTGTGTTATATTTGTTTGCATTTTAAACCGGGTTGCATTTATCTTTTTGTTAGCCGTGGGAGCTTTTGTGGTTGGTTGTGTGGGCTGCGAGCTGAAACCCTGATCAAATGCTTTCTATTTCTGACAAAAATCTTTCACATGAGGGACAACTCTTTCTTTTCTCAAAAGTGCACCCATCTCACCTTTTGTGCCTTGTGTTTGTTTTTCGGTGTCAAAAAGCTGTCATCACACGTGACAGTGCAGAAAAAATCTGCAAAAGCTGTGTGTGTGAGTCAGTGGAGAGATGCATTTACACGCATTAATCTGTTTTAAAAAATCGAATATATTCGCCTTGATTCACACAGGCCAACTAAGACTTAGTCAGACTATGAAAACTGAACCATGCTGTTTACCTGACCATATTTTAGTTATCCTAGCAGTCTTAGTTAGACCACTACTGAACCATTATTGTGCATGTAAACAGAGTAAAAGCTCACCGGTATTGGTATATGGGGGAGTCCACTCTGCAGCAGAAGCGGGGAGGCGTAGTGGGACATGGGTCGAACTACATGTAGGTGTCGAGGAGGCTGAGCAGCCAAATTGCATCGAAGATCACTCAAAGCAACCAAGGTGTTGCCTAGGAGACGAAGAGATTCTCCAACCATATTGAGGGTGCGCTGATCTTCCTCACGCTCTTGTGTCTGTCACAACAAAAGGGCAGAAAACATATTTACATTTACAAGTTGAATAAAACATTGTTTCTTCAAAGAAATGTTATATAAAATGGCACTTCAGTGACTGAAGCATTATTACTGTAAAGGAGGCGTGCACAACACATACATTGTTGTTGTAATCAGCTAAACTAGCTGCTCCTAGGATGGAGTGAGTTCTCTCCATAAAGGGTCGGAGTCTTTCCTCCACTCTCCGCACCTCTGAGAGAACCTCCACCAGTTCCAATGGGCTTGGGTGACTGAAGGCAAAGACAGAGGGGAAAAACTGCTATAGCTTTTCTATACCTTTTGGTTTACCAAGCTACAATAATTACAATTGCATACAATGTTATAGCACAATTACTGTACAATGTACACTACTGTAAGATTCTACTGTACAAATCAATATCCTGCAACCTTTAGACAACAATATGACATGCAGGAACAGAGAGGTTTTTCTTACTTGGGTCCAGAGTGAGGAGGTCCTTCTGTTTGTGTGGAGGCCGAAGTAGAGGAAGAAGAGGCAGGGGCTGGAGGTGGGGAGGTGTCCATTTGTTGTGCTGAAGACGAAGAGGCCGTGGAAGTCGACTGCGAAGCTGTAGCACCCTGCTGGGTAGACGCTTCACTTGGCTGACCCTGAAACAAGAATCAGGAATTCAAAGATTCAATACATACATTTTTGTATACACACTTTTGTATACTCAAACAACCTGGTCTGGAAACCACCAGAAATGGCTCAAGACTAATTTTAAATAGTTAAACATTGCTGGGTGCAACAAGAAGGCCATACCTCCAATCTATGAATCAACGTCTGAGTCTCTCGCAACAGGTTTTCAGCCAGCTGAAGCCTTATCCTCGGTTCACTCTGCACTGACTGGTCCAAGTTGATATGTACGTCCACAGATCCATTGCTCTGTAATTGAGAAACATCACACATTACCTAAAGCTCTAATCATGAACTGAAACAGTGTCATCACCAACACAGGTAGCAAATATACTAATACTTGAGCCACATATACACACACAGAGCTGGGTGATATGGTGAAAATGTAATATCATGACACTTCAAGAAGTTTTCTCGATACATAATAAGTCACAATATTTCTTTCTTTTATACTGAATGAGCTGGAACAAAGTAGTTCCACATTTGAAAAGCTACCAAAAACTATGAATCCAATGCTTTATATTCATTTTATACACAATGCTGCACTAGATCCAAATAAACAAGACTAAATATGCTCTCTTTGTAATCAAACATGCAGCTGGCAAGTATTTAAATTGATCAAGCATTTTGTGATGTAATTTATCCCTATAACTATAAACATTGTAATGCAACCCAACCCAACCACACACACACACACACACACACACACACACGTTTGAGTTTCTGTTGCTGCAAAACTAGAAACTGTATTGAGTTGCAGCGAATTAAGAAATAATTTTTTCTTTGATAAAAGTGACTGTGTTTGTCACTGAAAGAAAAAGGACAAAAATGAGTGTATCTGTGTACAGGCAACTGAAACTTAACTACATTTTACAGTAGCTCTACAAGGAGATATGAGAATTGGGCATTTTAGCAAGATGCTACAGTCTTTTTGACAAGCTGCTTACCCCAGTGCTGGTGCTGACTCTGGCGTTCCTCCCAGCCTCCCCAACACCAGCCATCATCTGCTGCACAGACATCTAGAGGATGACACAAACATTCTTTATATTAAAAGATACAAGCCCACTTATCTTATATGCACTTTTTAAAGAAGCATGTCTGATGCTTGTGTGACTACTACAGATGAACTGATCATGAATTTTTATGGCAGATTCTGATATTTTTACAGTCAAATTGGCCTGGAGCAGATTTCTATTATCCTTTTTTTAACCTTAGGCTCACAACGTGTGGGCTACATTTGCAGCACTTTTTATTAACCCAGATCATAATATAAATAACATTATTTGCTCTTTAACGGGCCAAATTGGCATTTTATAGTAGCAAATAAAAAGCAACTGACTATTTAGCAGTTAATGATATTTTAGCATAGGGGTCTCAGCGGAATTCAATTACAGCAAAAGCACAGTTGCCTGGCTCATGCTATTTAAGTCAAAATACAAATAAATACAAATAATAACTTGTCAGATTGCTGAGTGTGTGTTTGGAGCAACCATACACTGTGTATCCCTAGTGACTATACCACAAGCATGACAATAAACTGTCCGAAAACTACATGCACACTCTCACTAACAAAGTCTCTCATGTGAAGAAGGCATAAGCTTATAAAAGGTGGTAACCTGTATCTGTTGGGGGTCCATGATATTGACAGGAAGGTTAAAAGTGCCCAGCATGACGTAGCTGTTGCCATTGCGGTCATGTGGAGCACCTTGAGAGGTGGAAGTAGAGGAGTGAGAAGAGCTGGATCCTCCCTCTGCTCCACCCGAGGAGCCAGGAACTGCACTTCCACCACTGCCAGACTGAGTAGTCTGAGGGGGGGCCCGCTCCACAAGATGAATAACTTTGCCATCAACATCTGAGAAAGACCAAGGGTGAAAACATTTTATATGCACAAATCTTGCATTCTTCAGAATCAGAGATTCTTACAACTGCAACGCCATGGACTGTGGATTAGATGCAAGTGTCCGAAAGCCTGACAACACCAGATAAATCCTGATTGCAAACAGTGGGCAGTGGGAACTGCGGTTCAGAAAAGAGTTACTACATATGTAGCAATACTTACTGTATTCTGTCAGTGTTCTCTCATCCTGCAGCACCCTGCCCTGGTATATCAGCCTCTGCTTATCCACAGGGATCTCAACTGAGGAGGCAATATGCTCTTTAAACTCCTTCACTGTCCACTGAGAGAAGGAGAAAGGTAATCAGTCTTTTAGCCACAAATCTAAAAAATTTCCACGTCTTCTTTTGGCACAGCAATTGTTATTGCTTTTTTTGTTTGAGCCTTGCTACAATGCGTTAAGCAAAGATGAAAATCTTAGAAAGAACCAATGACAGCATGCTTAACCATGTTTCATAAATCAAGGTGTGTTACTGAGTGGCCATGTTATTAACCTCACCTCTCCTCGGACAGTGTAGCTCCTGCTCTGTGAGTCCAGAGTTTTAACAGTAACCTCAATAGCCCCTGGCTCCTCCATGGACCCTGCACTGTGGAGGAACACATTTTTAAGTGTGAAAGAGAAACGAAGTGAGGCATTAGACAGAAAATAGGTGTACACTCTTAACAATATGGTTCTTAGATGGTATTTTAGTAAAAGCAATGGTTCTATTTAGTATTATGAGCTCTATATGAAACCATTTCGTACTTAAATGGTTCTTCGTATGATGAAATTGTTCTCAGATTGATGGAGAACGTGTTGTATATGTTTCTACATAGAACCTTTTAGACAATGGCTCTACATAGCACCAAAAATGATTATTCTATTGTTACAAGCTTGACACTGCAACAATAGCAAAGTCATTTTTGGTGCTATACAGAACCATTTTCAAAAAGGTTCTATGTAAAGCCATATACCACACATTCTCCATCAATCTGAAGAACAATTTCACTATGCAAAGAACCATTTAAGCATCTAACCTCGTGGTTCCAAACAGAACCACTGCCTTTAAGTAAAGACCCTTTGATGAACCATCTTTTTTAAGAGATTAGTACCATACTAGTCCTGTGTTGTGTATAGAAACAGACACAACACCCAGGGTTTAGCACCGCCTCCAGAATAGACGGTAGCAAATAACACACAAGACCGAGCAGCAGTAAATCGATTCCACCGACCTACTCAGTCTTTTAAAACCGCTGCACGCTACTCTTTAACAGAGACACTGGAAAATTACCTCGCTAACCAGTTTAGCTGACACAGCGATAAACTGAAGTCAGCTTCTTGTTCGAATTTTCCCGTTCCACCTTAAATGGCGCAGCAGTCTGAGGTGCCAGTATGTAACTGCTGCACCATTTAAGGTGGAACGGGAAAATTCGAACAAGAAGCTGGCGAATAGGAAGCCAACCTCAGCCTCGTTAGCTCGCTAACAGAGCCGGTTTTCGGATTACACTCCCTGCTGGTAGCTGGTTATCTTTACACAGAGCGGGAATCATTTCCTTTTATCTGATTCATGAGGATGAAATACCTCGTCTTACTCTGCTTCGCGGTAAATCAGCGACGTTTTCTCCTTAATCCCAGTTTATCTGATGCCAGCTAGCCAAATTAGCTAACCAGCTAATCCCGCACCGTCTCCGAGCAACGTCAACCTCACTGTTGGGAGTGTTTGCGTACACATTGCGCAGACCCCGTTACACGAACGTTCACAAAAACAATGCAGGGGAGGAAGAGCGCGTTTGCGCAAATGTGTTCCTGCCCGACCGCCCCCAGTGCAACAAATAGGATCAAGAAATGGAAGTGACGTAAAGACTTTTCAAAATAGTGTTTTTGTTAAAAGTAAAAAGAAATGTAAAAAAAATTAAATTATCGTGGCGAATATGATGCTCTTTGACCCAATTCCCGCATTTGTGTTTTATTGAGTTGTTAATCGGTTTCCAATTGTATTGAATTTCTTTATGACCTCTTTTGGAATTCATCTTGATTAGTTTGAAAAACATTTTGATGCTTTCAAAACACATATATATATATATATATATATATATATATATATATATATATATATGCGTGTTTCTTTTTTTTCTTTGTTCCAACTGATTAGATGTTTGAAAAATTACATATTGTGTATTTCAGACTTCATTTGAGAAATTCCAGTATGGAATGAATACATTTATTTTTGTGAATATGAACTTTTGCTGCAATGATAATCAAATAACAACAACAACAACAACAACACCAATAATAATAACAGTAATCTTTAATGTCGTTACTTTTATGCTGACTGAAGCCAAACAATACATTAACTAGGCAAAGATTAAACTCAGGGTCAATACAACCTACAAAAAATCTACATCTTTCCAGAGCTATTTTTTGTGGGTACAGGGCCAAAACAGGTGGATAAGAGTTTCTGGGTCTACCTCACAGAATAAACAGTTGAAAATGATGTCCTTTTTGAACGTAATGAGAAACTGGTTCACAGTGTCACGCTCTGACTAGTGCGCAAATCGGAACACAGCCACTGACTTCGGCGACTAGTGTTGCACCCGGAGTGTTTTTACACGTACACCGGATTGAACATGTCCCGCCGTGCGGAGCTGTTTTGACCGTCCGGACCGCGAACAGTGGACAGTGGACAATGTCCGGCAGAGAAGAAATGGAGGATTTAGAGCAGACGAGGCTGCGTCTGTGTGACGAGTTTGCTACTATCACCGGGTCGGACAGCGCGGTGGCTCAGTGTTACCTCGCTGAAAATGACTGGGATATGGAGGTTTGTAACATATTCGCCAGCTTCATTTCGCATTTTCCCGTTCCACCTTAAATGGTGCAGCAGTTACACTCTGGCGCTGCAGGCTCCGGGGCCAGAATGGAATTACTGCACCGTTTAAGGTGGAACGGGAAAATTCGAACATAATTGACCTCAGCCAAGTCACCATTTACACTCTCCGGTATGACACCGGCCTCTGTTTACATTTGAAACTGAATACTTGTTTATTATTTTTCTGTCTTAGCGGGCCTTAAACTCTTTCTTCGAAGCAGATATGGAGTCAGTTTTTGACGTTGAGGACAAAGAAGAGGAGAGGAACAGACCTTTGAGTAAGAGAAAGGAGGCTGATGATCCAGAGAAGACTGACGATGCTCCAGAGACAAAGAGGAGGATGAACCCTCAGCAAGTCCACTGGTAAAATATAGCTGGATATGGTTATTAATAAAGTGCATAATTAGTGCACTAGTAATGAGTCACTAATTGTAACTAAGTGAATTTAGTAAGTAGTGGGACACTACAGTTTACATGCACACACATCTTCACATTTGATACGATTTTTGATTTTGAGGTCAAGGTCAGTGAGGTCAGCTCTTACGGTGAAATGGAGATTGTTTTTTAATAAGGCATGGACGGCAGTTAATATCTTGAGCTCTCAGGTTAATATATTAAGGCCACAAGTTAAATTCCTTGTGGCCATGTGGCCTCAATATATTAATTTGTGGCCTCTGTATTAGTTTGTGGCAATGAGGAACTTAACTCATGGCCTCAGTAAAATAATTTGTGCCCTCAATATATTAATTTGTGGCCTTGTTAAAAAATAGTCACCATGTCACCTTAGGGGCTGTGTAGATTTTTAATACTATAATATATGGTAAATTGTCTTGATTCAGATATTTACCATGTTTATATGCTATATTGATTGGTTTGACTAAAAATATAAATGTATAGAATTGCAAAAATAATTTGTAGAATTTATAAGTGACCGAAGAAAAAAATCATTTAATGTGGGTATATCCATAACATACCCCCTGGGCCACATTACCCTGATAGGATGCACTAGATAACTACGTTTGATCAGTGACAGTAGTTTATTTAAAAGATAGCAAATCAGAGACCCTTGGAAGAGACCAAGGGGTGTATTGGTGATAATTTTAAATCAAATTTTAAACGTTCATTTTGTGAGTTTTGAAATTACACCCTTAGTATTATCTTCTGTAAAATAGCATTGCACTCCTTTCTCCTCTCTCTTTCTTCCCATTTCATAAAATCTGGTTTGTTGCAGAAGAACAACTCTTGAAATACTGAATTGTTTTGTTCTGGATGAAATTTAACCACTTTGTTTTGTAATTTCAGTATTGATCTCACTGAGGAGGAGCCTGCTTGCTCCAGCAGCACCAGCTCAAAAGGGAGCGAGGATGATGAAGGTGACAGCAAGCTCTCTCTTATCTCCTGGAATGTGGATGGCTTGGACACATTAAGTCTTGCAGAACGCGCCAGAGGCCTGTGTTCATATCTGGCGCTGTGAGTCTGCCGGAGTGAATCTCAAATTTAATAGTACGTTGTGGAGTGTTTTTGAAATTTGCTGCCCAAGTTGTTTAAGTTTGTTTTGGTCTCTCTTGCAGATACACACCAGATGTGGTGTTCCTACAAGAACTCATCCCTTCATACGCTCAGTATGTTAAAAAACGTGCTGTCAGCTACCTGTTTATCGAAGGTACGGTACTGATCTTGATGAGGTCTGTGTAGAAGTACTTTTCTGATAAAAATAAATGTTAAATTGTCCTTACAGGAAATGAAGATGGATACTTCACTGGTCTTATGCTGAAAAAATCAAGAGTAAAACTACAAAAAAGTGAAATAATTTCTTATCCAACAACACAGATGATGAGGAATATTTTGTGTGCCCAAGTAGGTTTTTGTCCACATATTGTACATACAATAGTATTTATTCTGTAGACAGTTTCAAACCATGAGATGTTCTTAATTTCACTGTAGTCTGCCATGAAACTAGGGAAATGAGGATGGTGTCCCAGAAAAGAAGAGGCACCAGAACCCATTTTGAATCTGTCCACATGAATTTAAGCTTTCTTTAACCATAGTTAAACCATAGCTAAACCATAGTTCTATACTACACAGGTGACATTCTTGGGTAAAGAACTATATTTGATGACCTCACACTTGGAGAGCTGTAAAGACCAGGCTACAGAGAGAATGAAACAGCTAGGGATGGTGTTCCAGAAGATAAAAGAGGCGCCAGATAATGTGACGGTTATTTTTGGAGGTGACACCAATCTAAGAGACTCTGAGGTAATTTTGCATGATACTGAACATCTCTTACATTTTCTAATATTTGTTTTAAAGATCCAGGTGATCCTTTTTCTTACTGAATCATATATAAAAAATCTGAATTTAAGGGCTTCTTTTACACATTAAGTGTGCTTTTACATTTTAGTGTAAACCTATGAAAAAACATTTGCCACTTCATCAAACTGACTATCATATCAAATCAAATCAAATCAAATCATGTTTACTGTCACATCACATTTACACAGGTGCAAAGATGAGTGAAAATCTGTTGCATAGCCCCTCTTGCAGTACTTCAATATACAAAAATATATAAGAAAAAAAATATATACACGTTAGTACACACCAGTGTTAGACCATTGCAGTATACAGTTTTTGTACAGTAATATAAGTTATGAAATAAAAGCTGTGATATGTACAGTTGTACACTTCCATATATGTGTGTCTGAGATACACAGTGGATAGAATATTGATGTATATATTCCAGATTATACAAGATATGGATAAAAGATATACAAGATGTCAATCTATATGTGAAGATATATATATGACTAGTTAAACTTTGCAATTTCACCACCAGAAAGACACTTCAATTCAATTCAGTTAACTACAAATGTTTATTCTGAAGCAGCAGAACAGTCAGTAAACAGTTGCTTTCCCCCCACGCTGGTGTTTTGTCAGAATGAGCTAACGTTACTCTTACAAACATCACTAAAGCTCATCATGTAACATTTTATAACACTAGTCACCAGAATATTTTAAGCCACATCAGTCTCTGTTTAACAGGCTACTTCCAAAAACCGTTGAATGAGCGTCAGCTTAATTAGCTTAAAGTATTTCCTATTTTGTAATAATAGTTTTCATGAAAAAAAGTCCTTTCCTCTCGTCCTGGAAACCTTTCCAGTGCTTAATGTGCTAGTCCACTGGACACAGGGCTCATCGAGGGAACTAGCACATTAAAATGTTTACCCAGTCAAATGATGGTAAAGATGATGAAAAGCTATAATGTCAATCTACATATTTATTATTATATAATTTATTTTTAGCTATTACTTATGGCTCAAAATTATGGGCAGGCTCAAACAAAGCTCTTGGTGAACAATACCTCAGTTTGTCAGAAAAATCGATTATTAGTTAATAAACACACCTGAATGGTCAAATATCAAGATATTCATTTTTTGCAGCCCTAATAACAGCTCATGCCAGAGTTATTAAGGAGAAATAAATGTAAAGTTTTAGCAAGTTAGTGATGTTCAGGTTCTTGTGTTATATTGTGGCATAATTTAGTCTACAACTAGGCTTAATCTTTGTTTGGGAAGCTGCGCCATATAGTTGTTGATCTTTCGTTATCTTCTTCCACATTTGGGTAGGTGGCTAAGGTGGGAGGTCTCCCTGCTGGCGCGATTGACGTGTGGGAGGAGCTTGGCAAACAGGAGCACTGCAGATACACCTGGGACACTAAAACAAATAGCAATAAGACTGTGTCTTACGTCAGTAGATGTCGCTTTGACCGCATTTACCTGAGACCTGCAAAAGCAGGGCCTCGAATGGCTCCTGAACACATGGCCTTGGTTGGAATGGAGAAACTGGACTGTGGCCGCTACACAAGTGATCACTGGGGAATCTACTGCACTTTCACCTGATTTTTAAAAAGAATATCTGAATATGATGTATTCGCTGGACAGCATGGGATGAACTGTTGAAATTGACTGAAATTAAAGACCTACCTCGATTTCTTTACATATTTTTGGCTGTACATTGTTTGCTGTGCACAGATTCATACAAAAAGGCAGTTTCATACAGATACGCCACTGTAAAAAAAGTCAGATCTCCAATTAATTTCCAGTCAAAACGGCCTGTAAATGTAAGTTATTAATTGTAGCTTGATTCAGGCGAGAAGGCGTGGTCTACACTTGCCATTTCTAATCATTTTGACCTACCCCTACAGTGTGACCGTAGATGCTCAGTCACATTCTTACAGTTCCTGCTTGCCTCACCAAAACACTTTCATATTTGATGAGTCAAGCAGTGACAACATTACATTCAAGCAAAAGAACCACAGCCATGATCAATCATGATCTTACCAGTTTGTATCATCTCATTTAGGGACTGAAAGTGCCTCTCTTAGGACTGGTTCCTCTAAATGATTTTGCTTGAGCTTAGGCTTAATTACACAAAAGCATCCACCATTGTGTTTTATTGTGTTTTAATCAAGACTTCACCTGTTCTGGGAACATAAGCCTTTAGAAGTCTTGATGCATGTATTTTTATCATTAATAGTTTTGAATGTGCCTCGTATTTTTGATATTAATGTGTGCATAAATATATAAAATCTTAATAAACTAAATTCTAATGTAGTGAAATGAATCTAATGTATGTTGGGCTGATTAAACAGTATTGACGTGTAATTAGATATGGCCTTTCAGCACTGATGGGTATAGATGTTGGGTAGATTTAAAAAAATGCTGGGTTTTGATACAGGGGTGGGTGAGATATATTCAATATTGGTATCAGAAAAGGAAAAGTAGTTTTGTGCAATCCGTACAGTCCTGTGGTGCATTGAAAAAGTAGTAAGGGGTAAGTATCAAAGAACAGACTTAATATATAGACCATATAAAGTTGGGGTGCATGATTACATATAAATAATATCAGTATGGACAGATGTATAGACTGATATTTCAAACTGATATTTGATAACTTGTGTATTTTTACTCCAGAAGAGCAGAACTTCTATGCAACTTTGGGTTACTGAGTTAAAATGTCTGCATTTGATTAATTTTACTGAATTTGTGACCCTCTACAAATTAATCCATTTCCCTATAATGTTCATCCAGGTGTATATATAGTACCAATTTCTACCACCCTTCTTTACTTTCTAGTTAAAACAGCTATTAAGTACAAGTTATTCATTTTCCAGCGTCAGGAAAACAGAAAACACACAGTACTGTGCAAAAGTCTTAGGGACCTAAGCAGTTATCTAGTTATCTAGTGAGCTAGTTTGAAGAACAAAGTTTGGTTCCAGATTTTAATTTAACATAATCAGCACTGATTAGATAAACCAAGTATTGGATGATGATTACAAATAATACCGGGCTTCCCCAAGGAAAGGTTTGGAGATGGTTAAATGAACATATTGTCATGTATAAAATCACTTCTTATTGTATTGTAATTTGTATTTATTCTACAATTAGTGTTTTGTCTGAGCACATAAACACTTACTGACCAGATAAATAGTTTTTAAATATTTTTTTCCCTAGGTGGCTAAAACTTTTTGCACAGCACTGTATATTTTACAGAAAATTTCACAGAATCCTCAACAACTGTTTTTCAGTATGTGGTGTGTCCACTCTTTACCTTTATTACAGTTTCCTTTCTTTTTGGGAGACTTGGTTTCAGTTTTTTTAAAGACATATTCAGGGGTGTTTTTCCACACCTCCAAAGTTCAGTCTTAGAAGCTGGATGAATCCAGGTATTCCCAAACACATTCAGTGATGCTGGGGTTTGGACTCTGGGGTGGTCAGTCCATTTTTCTGTTAAAACCAGCAGCTGCTCTGTTTGATTTATGAGTTTTCTTCTTTTTAGTCTGTTTCCTTTTCTCAGTAAAGGCTTCTTAACAGCTACACATCCTTTCAGACCCACAGTGCTGAGTTGTCTTCTCACAGTGGAAGGATGGACAGAAACACCTGTGGATTTGTTCAGATCTGAAGCAGCTTGATTTTCTCCTGTCTCTCATAGATGGAGGCTTTAAGTGCTGTTTTTCTGATGGGGGCAGTTTTGGTGGCCTAACCGGTTTTGCAAGTGGTTGTTAGGAGACACATTTTCTCTGAATGTTTCAATAAGTTTTTTGAACTCCAGTTTTGGAAACTCCTGTTTTTTTATACAAGTGGATTATCTCATATTCAATCTTCTCAGAGTTCCATCAGCCATTTAAGATGCATATGAGAGAGACATTTGTGAGGCAGTTATAGTGAGTTTGGGGCACTGCTTTTGTGAATGTTAGTGTCTGTTTGAAGAGGAGCATAATGTCAGTGACTCCTTTTGGAAGATCTTGTCAGAAGGACTCACCTGTAACTTGTTGGTTTTAAAGGGGAATTCCACTGATTTTTCAAAATTTCTACATAATTCAATCACCGAGATGTAAAGCAAGTCATTCGGAGTGGTTTGATGTTCATTACAGAGAGCCGTACTGACTAAATTTCTTTGCAGTGGTGATAGGAACCAGGAGACACAGTGTATATAACACATATGTAGCCAGTTTATTTACTATTCAAAATGACGAGTCAACCTACATGTCTGCTGAGGTTTATATGTAAAAACGATTACAGACAGTAAAATAGAGGTAAATCTGAACGGTTGTGGATTTTAGCTATTACTTATTATGTGTTTTAGGCCAAAACCTTTTCAAAACCATCCTTAAAGCATAATTTTAACCATTGTATTATTAACATTTGACATAAAAACTTACTCTAAGGAAGCTTTTAGAGACATCAAATGATTTAGATGACTTTAGACCACTCTGAATGACTTTGTTTACATCTTACCTATTAAATTATACAGAAATTTTAGAAAAAAAAATTGGTGGGAAGAGTGAAAGGGTGGAAGAGTTAAAGTGGCAGTAGGTGCACAAAAGTAAAGAGTGGATTAACCAAAAATACTGCATAGATTTGAATATTTGTTTTCTGCTTTTTTCTAACTGAAAAACTGAATGTTTTGAGTGGACATTAAATAAATATGTGGTTAAAAATAGTGGAGTTATTGGTTTATGTCTCATAAAAGGCATTGCTCTATAAAGTTTTAGGAATAGGACTGTAATAATGTTAACAGTTAATTAGCTGCTCAGCATGTTTGTAGTTGTGTGCAGAAGCAGCATCCTGTCAGTGGTCAGAATGTGAATCGGGACCTCATTCCCCACACAGACCGTATCTGGCATTCACTCAGCTGGATTCTGTTAAAATATAATGAGTCTATTTTAAAGTACACCAGCTGATAAGAGAGTACTTGGACCTACAACAGCTGGACTAACAGGCTATTATCTGTGTGTACTTTGGAATTTGGCTCTGACAGTCACAAATGTTGTATGCTTTGTATGCCCTGGTTTATTAGTGGGGACATTTTAGGCCCTAACTGCACTTAAAGTTGCTGGCGATCTGTGCAGGCTGTTTGCTATCTTAGGCAAGACAGACATGTGACTCCATATGACCTTGAGGACTGCCAGAGCTGATCAACCTTTGAAGAGGTCAGATGTGTGAACACTGCATCTAAACTGTCATGAAATCTACATTCTAGGAAGATTTCTGCCTGAGGCTCTGTGATACAAAGAGAAAAATGCTACATAGTACTGCCATGGATGTAAACACGCTCCTTTGTTGCTCTTCTCCTAGAGTCTCTATAGTTTACAACCCTTTTATTTCAGTTCAAAGTTTTACAACCCACATTACGCTCATTTTGTTTTTGTCTTTTTCCAACTTCTCTTGATTCATAAACTTTCTGTCTTGCATAAAACAGTGAAATTGAATGTTCCGGTTATGAACTATTATCAACCATCATGACTCGCTAATGCTGGGTTCTGCAGAGTGGAGGCTCGTATATCTAGTGGTTCACATTAAAATGATCTAATTTACACAATTTTCCTCTTACCCTTGTTTTGTGTCCTTTCAAAGGCTAATGTCGCTAAAACATAACGGAAGTGTATGTCTCCCATAGACTTCTATTATATTAGCCTCAATGCTCCACAACTAAACTAAAGAAAACCTTTGGACACCAAACATGTTGCCTGCTTGACTGTGTTTGGTGTCAGGGCAATGTGTAAATTTGATTGGCCAATAAACCATTCCTTTAAAAGAGTGAAGAGTGAGAAAATAATCGATTATATGAGTTTAAAATATACTAAATCATCATTTATAGGGAACTTTCTATGGAGAGGTGGCTGTCCCAAACCCTAAACTTACACTACATTTTCCATTCTTTAAAAAAATAAAAATATAAATATATATATATATATATATATATATATATATATTTAAAAGATTTGGACTGATCATGAGTTACATTTTTAATGAAAAAAAAAAAAACTGTCCCAAGTTTTTGTCATTACCAAAACAGTTTTAGTCAGTAGGCGGAGCCTTATTTTTGCCACATAGCTGCATTTTAGAGGAGGGAGACTGTATCCCTGTCCCTCATGGCCACATGGTGAGTTAGATCCCATTGTTTTGAGGTGAATTTGACTCTGAAAATCAGTGTGTAACATTAAGAATTGTCACTACCGAAACATATATTTTCTGTTACTAACTACACTTTGTGTTTTAATGAAAACTATTATGATTTCATGTGTGTACAACTGTTCAAAGCTGTGTTTGCTAGTCATGTACTGGCTAGCTGATTTGATTTTTGCTAAAATTGTCACTACCAATACATTTTGTAAGGTTTCAGTAGTGTTATGATTGTTTTGTTGAGAAAATGGAATGTTAAATCATTTATTTTCATAAAATAAACAAAATTAAGGCATAGGGTCACTCAGAGCAAAAATCCAAGTCAGAAGTCTGAAATGCATTTTCAACTCTGACTTTGAACCAATTTAGATGCAAAAATGCAGAATTTTGGACACCAAATTCATCTTAGCTGCTTTTCTACATATGGGATAAGGTGAAAATTCTAAACTTGATTTCTCACCACAGTATCACTTTAAAACCACCTAATCACAGTGTCTTGGTTTTCCACAGTCCAGACCACATAACTGGTCATTTCTGCTTTGGTAACAGTAGGATTAGTATAAGGCTTTAATAAGGGTTTCACAGTGACTTGTTAATGCTAAGATGGCATGGAAGTAAAGGTCATGCTGTGTAATGTCAGAGCAGTGAAACACAGCTTGAAACTTTATATGCATAAATTTAATCGGGCGCAGCACCCGAGCAATCTGCAAATGTCACATCTCACTGTTTCGGTAGGAGATAGTGTGTAGACAAGGAAAGAAAACTTTGAAACCTTCATTATGTAATCAGGCAGCATTGGACTGTCAATCAGTAACTCAGCTACATTCGCAGAACTCACCTTAACAAAAATATCTTGCACCGAGAACTGCAGCAACGTGACTGCAGAAAGTAGAAAGAGCTAATGTCATTACTGAATGGCCTTAAATCAGAACAAGTACTTTATATTATAGACATTTTTATTTCATAAATAACACAGAACAAGCATGGTACAGCGATAAATATTCATTTACACACTGTAAGAATCTGTATTACAAAATACAGTGTTATTGTAATGCACTTGTTTCATGGGGGTCGAGGTTTCGTAATAGTACCTGATTTGCCTTTATCTAAAATTACATCCATACCTTGCTGTGAATGTGCTGTAGCCATATGCGTAATCTCAGATAAAGGCTTGTCAAGAACCATACAGAGATGCCCCCACATCAGATTTAACAGAGTTCCTCTGTTGCATAATCTTGTCTGTTAAATGGGCAGATAGATTAAACAAAGGACACTGATGTGTATCCCAACAATGTCATATTCCCCCATAGATTACCATATATATGTAGAAAACCATAACCTTTTTTGCATTTGACACTATATGCCTTAAACATGTCCTTAGTTTTAGTTTTATACTCAACAGAAATGAAGTGTCTGAACATGCCACAGGCTGTTGTCCTGTCATGTCATAGGCAGCAAGAGGTACAAGGCAGATTGACATCGTAACACAAGACCAGGAATGTTGTTGTCCATGTAACTCAAGGATGTTTCTGCAAGTTCTGCTTTCAATTATTGCTAAATTCAGAAAATAGAAGGCCCATTCCATTTTCCATATACAAATTCATTTGGGATGCATAAAAGAATTACAGAATTAGACCAACTGATTTGTACCACATTATCAGCAAGGAATGTGTCCTTTTGTGTGCCATATCATACGACATGCAAGTTGGAAAATAAAAGTAACAAATCAATAGAAAAGTTCTTCGGCCTGTCTACCATAACCGTTTCTATCAGCCTGTGAAGATATAATTAGATGATAATATAAATGTTGCAATATTAATTGGAGCCCTTAATCAGCATTTCACTCAGACCTTTGAGTCCAAGTAGCAGCAAAACCATGTAAAGTGATGCAAAAATGGAAAAATGGGTGTTGAAGATCCCTAATGTCACACCGTTCACAGACCTGTCGATTGTCAGTTAATGATGCTGTAGATGTACAGTGAATAGGTGATGTGACAAAATTCTGGAAGTTTCAAGTGCTGTTTCCAGTCAGTTGCAGGAGTACATTTCAGTCAATGTGCAAACCAGGACAGACAGCACTTGTTAACTAAAAAAGTTAAACATTAGTACTTCTGGGGAAAATTTCATGGCAGAAATTCAGCATGAACTACAAATAATTCTATCAGCAGATAAAAAGATAATAGCTTTATCTATGCAAAACCTAATTTAAACCTACTTGTTCTCAGATGCATACATTTTAAAGGTACAATAAAGTCATAGTTTTGCATTTAGCTTGTAAGTCATACATTAGTGGCTCAGTGCTGGTCATATGGCTGGTCACATGACTTGTAATGACATGCAATGACCTTTTGCCCTGTTGCCCTGACCACTGTAAAAAGAAAGGCATTTTTCTATGTTCCTCTCCAACCGGAAAAAACAGGGCCACCTTTTATAAAACTCTCAGAAAAAGAATACGTTTACTAGGGATGCACAGATATAGGAACATGCCGATGCTAATAGCGGATATTTTTCATGTGCATACAGTTGTAGGCAAAAGTTTGAACACCCCTGGTAAAATTACGTTTTGTTGATCTTCTAAGTAAAAATAAGTTAACACATCCTCTATGTTTACAGCTTAAATATGACATTTTTCTGCCAATTGTAGTGAACAATTTATAGGCTAACCATTTGAGAAAAAATAAAACACTATATACATACATACATACATACATACATACATACATACATATATATACATATATATATATATATATATATATATATATATATATATATATATATATATAAATTGTGCTATAACTTTTGCACAAGCCACATTTTACATCCACCTACCTCAACATGCAGCAAAATTCAGCAAATGAACAGTAACTGTGTATTAAAACGTGCAGAAGTGTGTTCTCTGTAGAGAATGTGTTAAATTATTTTCACCTAGAAAACCAACAATTTATTTGACCAGGGGTGTCCAAACTTATGCACATGATCTGTCGATGCTGATTCTGATGCCGATACATAAACATTTATAAACTGTAGTAACTGGGACTAAATCTAGCTGAATTAGCATTACAGAGAAATACAACATTTATTTTTATAGGGTTGCAAATGCAGTAAAATGAATAAAATGCAGACAAACGCAGATATAAGCTTAGTAGCTCAGCATTGCCTAAATGTTCTGCTCAATAAATGAGTCATCAAATATCGGTTTGATTTTTTGTTTTCAAAGCCATTATCTGTTGGCACCAGCATGATTCCGATATCATGCTGCATCCCTTTTGTTTTAGCCTCAGCTCAGAACCATTAATTTGAGATGTTGTATGAACAGCAGTTCAGGATTCTGTGAGCTGTACTCTTTAGTATTGAAGGACCAATGAACCCAGGAGGACTCTGGGGTAGGAGACACACTGTGCCTATGGCGCTAAGCTTGTTAAGAGACAACCTTGGGCTAATTTAAACAGCTAGAATCCAAATCGACTAAGTCAGGCAAAGCTCAGGAGACATTTGTGTCTAATTAAATGAATCTCTAAGGAGTGAGAAATGCAGACCGTGTCATGAGTCCGAGACCATCGGCATTACATAATTACTTAAGGTTATCAGTTTTGATATGTGTGCACATTGAATCACGTATTCGTTGTGGACCTCTGTGGAGACGATAGAGGATCTGTGCATACATTTCACCAATACACAGTCGTATACAAGGATCTGGGAACCCCTGGTTAAATAACGTTTTGTTGATTTTCTAAGTGAAAATAAGGTTAACTTTCTCTATAGAGAACACACTTCTAAACATTTTAATGCTCACGTTTTCCAATACGTTAAACTCAGCAAATAATAAGAAATTGTGCACTAAAGTTAGCAGAAAAATGTCATATTTAAGTGTGTTCCCTGTAAAGGATGGGTTAACTTATTTTCACTCAGAAAATCAACAAAACATGTCATTTGACCAGAAGTGCTCAGGCAAATGACTGTATCCATTTCTCCCATTAAATCCTGTTGTGGGAAAGTGACAGAGTTTGGCCTAAAGTGCCGCTAACGAATCCATTCCCATGGCTAATTTAAAATCTGTGTGAATCTTGAGTTTCTAATATTTTATCCCATCAAATAATTGCAGTAATAATATTAATATGAATCAACTATCCTGCTTAACTTAGCATTTAACTTTTCCTCTCCCGGTTTTAAATAATCATAATATAAACTACCTGAAACATTAACAGTGATAGCCTAACACACGTATTGCACAAGATAAAATGCAATGTAAATTTGTTCCAACTTAAAAGGCAAAATTAGTGAGCTGAGAAAACAAAACTTATAGCAGCCCTATAACAAAGCATTTGGTTAAATAATACAAGAAAGAAGGCCAGAGATTTCAGCAGTCCTCCCCATACAGCAATATGAGAGACTGAACAGGGAGGATCACACTGTTCAGTTAATCATGCTGCACTCAAGGTTCTTGGCAGGACATTCTTAAATATCCTGCTGGGAAATTTTTACTTCCTTTCCATCTGTTCTTGGCCGAACTGTAAAAATTGTAAGTAAACCCAGTCTGGAAAAGCAACAAACATTTTCCTAGCAAGGGGGTACAGTTTTTTCCCACTCCAAATAATAATAATAATAATAATAGTAATAATAATAATAATAATAATAATAATAATTTTCCTTTGTTTATGATATTGAAAAGTATCAAAAAGAAGCATAAAAACTGACAATATTAAGCATTTACAGCCAATGTAATAAACCTTAAATCAGACATGTTTTAAAGAATTATGTTGCTCACTGAGCGTCATCTGATATACATTAGCAGCTGGGCCCTCCACAGCAATATACTCTACAACACTGTAGTGCTCTCCCTAATCACATGCTTTACACCTGCTCTAGATATATATATAAAAATGTTCTAGTTTAAATTTGTACGATATAAAAAATAAATTTCAAAACAAAACATACAGAAGAAACTATGAGGCTCTATTTTAACTTCATCTTTCGTTACAAAATACTGGCCCATTGTCCCAACCTTTGGGGATGATATCCAACCAGTGCTGATCCTCTCTGGGAAGAAAGTTCTCAGCTTCGTGAACACGTCGCCACACACCAGCATTAAACCTGAACATGCAGGACTGACCAGGGCTGCAGCTTCTCCCTGCTAGCTGTACTACAGGGACACAGACTTCCTGCCATGGCCTAATCATCTCCTCTGATCCGTCTTCACCTTGGCATTCCTGTCAGGCTGTGCCTCCAGGTATGAGGCAGGTGAAATATGCTCACAGCAGGAAAAATGTTGACATTAGGCATCAGACCACATTAATCCCCCCACCTGCCAAAGCTCTTTTACTGCAGTAGGTGGAGCTACTGTGGTTTGCCATGCTGCCATTCATGTGGGAGGATTTCATTTCCATCTGACAGGCAGCGATGGCAGCGTTCAGTTCCATTTGTGCTCGATGCACGACGTAAAACATCAGACCTATACTGATGAAGATCTGGGGAGAAAAGAGAGAGAAAATGCTTCAGGAAAAACTGAACATACTCGTTCACTGAGGTGTTTCTAAGCAAACAGGTTCCTGACTAAACCCCCAAAAAAGATCAAAGGACAAACCTTTAATCCCTTCGGTATTAGTTGCTGCATTACAACTGACAAATATAGGGCTCAGACAAGGGCTGACAAGAGAAAACACTGCAAACTAAGTGCAACTGGAAAATGCTTACTTGTAGACTGAACACAAAGTATCCACTTATGCTCTGCTCCGCTATAACGTCCTCCATAGTGCGCAGTGTGGTCCCCAGGTAGGAGTTCAGGAGCTGAGTGGGCAGAAGGCCCACTGAGGAAGCCACTAAGTAATTTGGCAAGGACACATCTGTGATCTAAATGGAGGAGAAACAACATAACATGCATGCAACATAACATGAGAACTGTTGTTCTATTACAAATGCATTCCATGCAAATCACATAGCTGAATAAGCAAATCTGTATAGTTAAGAATGTTGCCAAACTGCTTTAAGGTAACAAAACAAGTTGTCTCTGTTTTCACACAGACTTAGTAACTGTAGAAAAAGGTGATGAATGCCATAAGCTGCAGTCACACGACACATGAAAAGTTTGCGATCTTTTTTGTGAAACAGGCTATAAAAATAGAAGAAAAATATTTACATATTTTGCTTGTATTAAACATACATGTACAAAGTGCAGCATATGTGATGTTTTTAATTAGATGTACTGAATATATTTAACTGAATATTTACACATATGCCAATACATGCACATATATATCAATATATGGTCAAATATGCACATACGTAGATATGTAATAGGGTCAATTTTTAATGTTTACATGTCAAAAATATATGTAAATAGATTTCCTTTGTGTATGGGAAGCATATAATTATATCAAATGATTATATACTTGTGAGACTATAATGCTGCACACTGATCTGTGGCCAAAATATAGATAAGTGCCATGGTTGGCAGCAGTGGGCTGACTTATGTGAAGCTGCAGTTAGCCAAGGAGCTAACACAGCAGTTAATTTAGATGGCTAACTCATCAGACATGAACAGTACAAATGCACAAGTGAACATAATTAGATCAGATAACTACATACTTGTCACAGCATAGTGCTGCACACTGATTTGCAGCAAGAAAGTGTAGATAACTGCAGCAGTGATGTGACTTGTGTGTGCAGTTACTCTGCCAATGAGCTGATCAACTCATCAACCCATCAGCCCTCAGTAGCAGTAATGCTAGAGGCCCAAAACCTGTTTGCTGTAGAGAAACCAAAAGATACTGGTAGGTTTTCGTTGAAGTTCCACAGAAATGGTTAGAAACTTTTTTAGCCATTAAGCTCCATTCATCCACATTCACCAACTGTTACTTGCTGGTGTCTCTGCAGTTTTGCAGTTATGTTTTTGGTATAATGGGAGAAATAGGAAGTGGTTAGGCTCCCCTTAAACCAGCTCTGGTTCTGCATGTTAAACATATTTACCCTGGAATTTTGCAACATGAAACCGATCATCAGGGTGAATTCTACTGAAATAAATGTAATTTCACTTCTGTAATTTTACTGACTCGGGCCTTTAGTAAACAGTTAGCACGCTGCAAAGTCTTACAATTATAAAAATGTGTCAAATCCAATAAATAAATAAATAAATGAGTTTTTGACTTATGTTAATGACTTATTTTTTGGTTCAGAAAACATTAGCTCAGAATATACATTACCACTGTTCTCAGTCTATGGTGCCATGATACCATTTTACTGAGTACAGTACACCAAGTAAACAGTTCATCCCAAAGTCATACGTCACAGCTAGCCCAGTTTCTTCAGTGTCTGGCTTCATGACTGGATAATTAAGTTAACTCTCAATTCTAGAAGCTCCACAAGCTGCTTTCTTAGAATTTGTTCTTGACACAGTCAGATACTCGCAAGCTTACACCTGCCTTCATGCAAGAAATACAACACTGACTCACAGTAAGGATTCACAATCACAGACTGATGAATAATGGATTAGAAGCTAATGTCAAGTTTGAAATTAGAGAACAGTAGGTTTTTTTCCCCTGCATAATGATGACGGCACCACAGTTTGGCAGCTTTTACTGGACTCGCTGGGGTGATGAAGATAGACAGTAGAATATAGACAGCAGAATATATGACTAGGTTTTCTTTTTTGTATTCCTTCTTGTTTTAATAAGAATTATTATTTTTGGAAAAGCTACTGTTTTGGGATAATGTAATGTTTTGTAATGTTTTAAGATGGCAGACATCTTTTAAAAAAACTTGCTGGTTTTGCTTAAAAGGTTGTTTTTCTTTGGGTAGCTTTTCTGCCAAACAGCAGCACATCTCCTTCAATACAGGCTGTATTTGTCATATCTAAGCACGTTACTAATGATTAGTACTTTCTATTTTCCCCATGCAATGTACAGATGAAAACCAAGATACTTTTTTGCAAAGTATGCAGCCCACATCGTATTGGGTTACCCATATAATGCAGCTCATTCTACTTCAGCAGAAAACACAGGGCACATTGAAACATAGACATCTACAGGAACTGCTTACTGTGAGCAGACGCAACGTAATTCCAGTATGGCCTAGTAAGTACCCATATGCATCACGTGGTCGGTTGGTGGATATATTTATGCAAAACAGAGGAGCAACAAAAAGCTGATTAAGACCAAGAAAGCTTCTGAACCACACCAACACTTAAAAAGACCAAGCTTAATGTAAATGTAAAAGCCCATCTGAGAACTAAGCTCCTTTATGAAGCGGCTTCACTGAATAACTTCAAAAGCTAACCAACCTCTAAAGCTAGCAGAAAGAAACTTCAAAAACCAACAAAATGTGAGCTCATACATCACCTACTGTTCTCTAAAATCACCCACGCTTCATACACTCAGACACAATGGTCTCTTTTCCCAGTATAGCAAACTTAGAATGAGCTGGGTTCTAGATAAGGTTGTGCCAACAACTGCAACCAATTTTCCCAGAGAGGAAACTGTAAATCTAACAGATACAAGAAGCATTACTGAGCAAAAATATAAACAACAATTAAAAAAAACAAAAAGAAATTTGCTAGACTTTTCACATTTTATGTACGGCACTGTTCAAAACTCAAAAAGTATTTAAGGACAACTTACTCATTTTTTTCAGTGCCCAAAAGCAGAAAAGAAACATGACAGAAAATTACACAGAACACCGCAACAACCACAAAATACAGTATCAAAATATGTTCCGTATTTACTGAGTCCAGTCTTTGCATTCATTACAGCCTTTTCTCAGGAGACTTGCTTTCATTTTTTCAAAGATATTTACAGGTATATTTATCCACAACTCCAAACTTAAGTCTTAGAAACTGGTTGTATTTTACGCTTCTGCTTTTTATGGTCCAAGTAATCACAATTACAAATTTAGACTCATCATCCATAAAACCCTACTCCATTTCTCATGTCCAGTTTTGGTGTTCTAGTGCAAATTTTATACTTTTTTTTGTCTGTCTCCTTTTCTCAGATACTTTGATACTTTTTTTCTTGACAGCTACACTTCCCTTCAGACTTATAGTGTTGAGTTGTCTTCTCTCAGTGGAAGGATGGCCAGAAACACCTTTAGATAAAGCAGAGACTGATTTTCTCCTCTCAAAAAAAGCTACCAGGTCTTGCATGGTTGTCAGGGGTCCCATTTTCTTTGAATCTTTAACTCCAGTTTTCGAAACACTTGTTTTTTTTGTTATTTCTCTTTCATCTCCTCAGAAATATCTCCATTATCTATTTAGATGCACATGAGAAGAACATTTGCAAGGCAGCTAAAGTATGTTTGGGTAGTTGCTTGTGTGAATGTTTGTCTTCCTTCAAAGGGACACTGTCAGTGACACCTGTGATAACCTTTTGTTCGGAGGACACAGCTGTAACTTGTTGGTTTTCAAACTGGAAGGATAGAAGAGTTAAAGTGGTGGTAGAGTGCACAAAAGAAAAGAGTGGATGGATTGAATACTGAAAGACTTGACATTATACTTAGGATCAAAGACTTTTGTGTAATTTTCTATTGAATATATGTTTCCTGCTTTCCTGACACTGTAAAAGTAATAATTTACTCTGAATATCTATTTTGACTGGAAATTAAATAAACAAATTGGTGGTCTCAGACTGTTGCACAGTACTGTACAAATGTCAGAGGGTTTTTTTGTTTATCTCCTACAAACTGGACAAGTGTGCAGTGAAAGTTTCAATAACTGTCTACTGTCAGTTTAAAACACCTCAAAGACGTTAAGAACACAACCATTTAAAAGCACATATTATAAGACACCTAGAAGGATCGTTCTTCATATCCTGTTCCGCAGTCAAGCACTTGCTATGTGAGTGCACATCTATGCACTTTTCTGACCTTGGCAATCCTAAATGGTGTCAATTCTCTCTCATGTGTCACTTAATCAAATATTAATAATGTAGGCTACACAACGCCCCTGAGAGTAAAATTACTATGTCAGACAGTCACTATCCTCCAGCCTATATGTGCAGAACGCTTAGCTTTGACTTGAATCATGGACTAAGAAGGAGATGCTCTCATCATTTCACTCATAAGCTGGATCAAGTCAAAATCCTTTAAATACTAGAAGGCTTTAACTTAATTAATTAAAATCTAACACCGCTTCTCTCCTATTATGAACACAGACGCACAGTGCTGAGAGGTATACAATCCTGCTTTCAGTGTTTCGGGTGTGCGGATTTATGAATTTGACTGAATCAATGGCGAGCACTATTTTGGTATTCATTATTTCCCATTTGAGTTCGGTTTCTGTTTTATTTTACAGCTGTAGTTTGTTTTAAAAGTTAGACGTCGCAAAAACTACAGTACCCATGATGCATTGCGCCCATAACTCACCGCAGGCAGAGGCGAGAAGAGACGAGAGCGACACAAACAGCCAGAGAAGGAAGAGTTTACAAAACACAGGATCATCTTCTCTCCTTGATACAGTTCTACAGAACTAAAGCGGCTCTTCATGCTGAAGCATTTATGAATTTTCCGATAATAGTGCTCTTTTTAAAGGCCTAGTTATTACTATAGTTATCATTCCGTGGTACTGGTACAAAAAGACAAACTGCTAACAACACTACATGCATCTGACATGTATATATGTGTGTATATACATACTATATATACTAGTTCTGAAATATACATACATATATATATATATATATATATATATATATGTGGTATATATGTATGTATGTATGTATATATATCACTATACACACATACTACATACATACACACACATATATATATATACTAGTATCTATAATATACATACATATATATACATATATATATATATATATATATATATACACACACACACACACCTCTGCACATATACACACACATACTATATATACTAGTTCTGAAATATACATACATTATATATATATATATATACACACATATATATATATATATACATAATATATATATATATATATATATATATATATACTACACACATATATATGTCTCAACCAGAGCTAAACTACTACATATATATGCAGTATATAAATATATGTGACACATATACAGTAACTAACAGTTTATTTCCAAGCTGGCAGTTTATTTAATCCGGTCCCCCACTCACCGAAAACACTGCGTTCTGGAGGCCGAAGGGGATCGGGGTGAGCCGGGCCAGAGCCACCACTTTCAGCCCGCTCCCGCCCTCCACCACCCGTATAACGGCGCTGAGCTGCTCGCTGTTGCCGACCCGATGCAGCACCCAGTGGGCGAGCAGCCGCTTGCACGCCACGTGGGCCACGAAGGTTCCTATGAGGACCCCGACCATGACGAGGCCCAGGCCGAGCACGAAGCCGTACAGGTAGCCGGCGGCCACGTTCAGCAGGATGTAGCCCCAGCCGCACGGGAACGACACGGTGATGAGTCCGATCACGAAGAGCAGCGCCCCCACCAAGCCGTCCAGGCTCTCCACCCACAGCAGCAGGTCCTTCAGGTGCTGGCGGACCAGCGCCAACGACGAGAAGCACACGGCCGTCAGCAGGCACGCCAGCAGGGCGCTTTTGAAGCAACAGGTCGCCACGCAGCACGGGCTCCTCGGGTCCCCGACCGAGAAGGACGACACGCCGGCCTCGGCGCTCTGCAGCTCCGCCTCCGCCTTCCCTGCGCCGGCGCTGCAGATCAACAAGTCTATTTTATCGCAGTCCAGCGACTCGGGGGTTTTCTGCAGCCAGCGGTTCAGATGCATGTGGCCCTTCCCCGCGGCGTGGCGCACAGATTTGGCCAGAAGCTGCACGGTGGCCGCCGCCAGGCTCCACATGTTGATCCGCAAGTCTGTCGGAGCCCCGACGGCCCGTGAGGTTCGGCTCAGACGCGGTGTAAACAGATGCCAGGGCTACTCTCTCTCCCTCTCTCTCCCTCTCTCCAAACTCAGCGCGGATGCTGATGTGAACGGCTGTAAGCCGTTGGTCCCTCACTGCGCCGAGCTGAGCGAACCCACCCACCCAAAAAATGCAGTTTTGTGGGTTTTGTGGCGAGAGGCGCTCTATTTCACCTCTCTGGCCCTCCAGCAGCGTTTCAGCCCTGTTTGTCCTGACAGCTCCAGATCAGAGTCCTGCCACTTCATCAAGGACTCGCACTGTGCTTCAGTAAAAATAAACCCTCCACCCTCCCCCGGGCTCACCGCGGCCACCATGTTCACGAGGAAACCCAAAATAACACCGACCCGAGCTCGAGCGGCACCATGGGGGACGCAGGATCTCTCTCACCGGGTTCAGTTCCAGTCAGCGTCGATGTGAAGGCTGAACTTCCACGGCGCTCCACCGTCCGGCGACGCGCGGATCTCTGCGCTGCGCTGCGCCCCGTTTGGTTCAGGTCCGAAAGCGCCGCTGCTGATCCATCGTGGTGAGTCATTCCGTTTCACCGATCGCCGTTAAAGTAAGTGAAAACGGCGGCGCTGATGTTCAGTCGGTCAGACGCTGTAACTGAGCCCTCGGTTTCGGACAGTAAATCACAGAGGCGCTCGAGATGCTCTCCGACCACAAATCGCACCTCTGTTTGTTTCCCACAATGCCACGCGGTCGCGTCGCTCCGTGGGGGCACACGTGATCTTTTTCGTATCGCGAGAGGTGGACAAACGCGCGCGCGCGCGCGCGCACACACACGTTGTTTTACATGACTTGTGGGAACTTCCAATGATTTCTATAGATTTTTGTATTCCTGAGCCAAGTAGCCTACAGTACACCTACACCTAACCCTGACCTCAGAATTCAGACTTAAACCCAACACCAACCTTAACCTCAGTATATAAATCTAAACCTAACCTTAGAATCCAAACCTGAACCCAACCTCAGAAACCTAACCCTAACTTAACCTTAGCATCTAAACCTAAACTTAACCCTAATCTCAGTATCCAAACCTAAACCTAATGCTAACTTTGGTATCCAAAAGGCAGTCCTTCTGCCCCCCCAGTGAAAAGTAATTTGTGGTGAAAACAGCACATGCTCAAGTAAGAACCAGCTAAATGTCATCACTTGTGCAAAAACAAGGATAGCAAGACAAACAAGCACACACACACACACACACACACACACACACACACACACACACACACACACGTCACATGGATCATGACATTTTTTAACAAATAACAGCTGTATGTGCAATATCTTAATTAAGTTATCAAACTTACAAAGTTTGTCATTAATGTTGTTAATGTTTTTGTTATATATGTTCTTAAGAATGCTGGTATTTGCTTTAAACACAGATGTATGTAGCTGTAAAACGAATGTCCTTTTAATCCAATAATAGCCAGGGCTCACCGGAGGGCCCAAAGTTTTATTCCACATTTCTACAACTTAAGAAAAGCTTAGTTTGCTTTGTAGTCAGAGTAGTTATTGAACGATAAGCCTTAGTATGTAATAAACCCGACAAACTAAGAGGTCAAAATACACATCGAAGAGTCACAGAAAAGTAATGTAACAAGTAATCATGTTAACTGTTAATTAACTGTTGAAAAGCTGATGTAAAAAGGTCTAAGCTTGACAACAGGCAGTGTGGCAGTTTTGCATGAAATATCCCGCCCTGTCACATTACCCTCTGCCACAAGTTCAGTGTGTGTTCATTATTTATTTATTTTTTTTGGTAAGAACAATATATAACAGAAACTCTGCAGGACAAAAAATGATTTCTTTATGTGAAAGAAGATCTAATGGAATGACTCTCGTATGCAAAAGTTTCAACACACCCAGTCAGATGATGTTTTGCTGATTATCTAAGTGAAAATAAGTTAAAACATGATCTACAGTAAGAATTCATATATGTGATTATGTGGCCGGGGGTAGAAAAACTGTACATCATACACTTGTTTCTCATATTAAGGAATTTTTACATTCACAAAGCAAAAAGGGCTCTTTCCAAACTTCATGCAGTTATTGGAAGATTTTATTCAATACGTCAACCTTATGAAGCACTCGGAAAACAAGGAAGCACTAAAGACACTCAATGCAAACAAAGATTTTAATGTTATGTGTATATTTTGCTTCTTTTTTTTTGCACCCCAGGCAATGAATGTCTATCTGTTTTCTTGTGTCTATCTGTTTCTTGCCTATTATCTGTAGCTCTAATTACTTCTTGGCATTAAAAAACATACAATCTCAATTCAGTGGTGAGTTTCACAAACCAGTTAATGTACCAATTTGATACTAAGTAACTTTGGTCCATTTCTATTGATACATTTGACAAAACAAAACAAAAAGTTTCTAACTGAATACTTATTTTCTGGAAATCTCGCACTTGTGGAGTGTGTACGTCAGTGTGAGCACATGTGTGGGCCAGATGTACACACTGATGCACACACATACTATCCTGCAGACATTTTCAATTTCTTTTAAAAAGGTTTTGTATTTATTTTACTAACACCTGCTTTGTTATTTCCTATTGTTTGGACCTGCTTGACCACTTTTGTGCCACTGATGTGCACTCCACCCTCTAACTGCACACAAGAGTGCATAGCACTGATGTGTCCAGGATTGTACACATGGTTTGGCCAAAAGGGGATGGGAGAGGGGACAAGAGTACGCTTAGGAGGGTGGGAGTGTGGGGTGTGTTACAACGTAATCATTTATAAGTTTGTATTCTGTTGCTGTCTGAACAAAAAACTTTCTAAAAATGGTAACTTTACAGGAGAAGGAATAAACATTGTTAACTTTTAATGGAAGTTAATGCAAAAAGATTTTATTCCAAGTAATTCAGGAGCATTTCTATTGGTCTGTTCATCATGAAATTGTCACATAATGTCTGACTGTCACTTTCAAATTGTGTTAAAATAAATAATAAATAAAAAAGAAAGACAAAAATGGAGATACAAGGTTTTATCCTGACACAGACGATGGGCTGAGTATATCATTGGTGTTTTTAAGGAAAACGAGTGGACACACAATGACATTACTGTATTAGCTTCATATTTGCTTTTTGTAGTTGTTTATACTGAAACTAATACGATGTAGAGGTGTACACTGACTAATGCAATAATTTGTTCATCAACAGATTTTGTTCAAGCTGTCCTGAACTGATATGCACACTGCTTTGAGAAGACACCTAAACTATATATATATATATATAATTAATGCACACTTCTGTGTTTTCATTTCATTTATTTACAGTCGTTTGCAAAAGTTTGAACAGCCTCAGTCAATTGTCATGTTTTGCTGCTTTTGAAGTGAAAAAGTGAAAGTGAAAATAAGTTACCACATTCTCTACAGGGAACGAATTTGACATTTTTCTGCAAATTTTAGTGCAAAATTTCTATGTATATGCTGATATGAAAAGCATAAAACATATAAATGTGCCATCACTTTCACACAGGCCACATTCTTACCCCCGCCCCCCAATTATTAAATTGAGCAAAAAAAAAAAAACATAACTGTACATTTAATCTATAGAAGCGTGTTCTCTGTGGAGGATGTGTTGACTTATTTTCACTTACAAAATCAACAAAACACATTATCTGATCGGGGTGCCTAAACGTTTGCATACAACTTTGAGTCAATTACCTCTTTTCTGATTGATTGTCCTGTATCAGACCTCATTCAACAACCAGCCTAGGCTAAAACACTCCTTATAACTTCTATATGAACTGATATATGCTAAATATGTCATAGGTTGACATCACAAAAAGCAGGTTGTATTTGCAGCATAGTTTCCAGGTATGGACTGTGTGGACTGGAGAGTGAATGGTACATTTAGAAACATTACCAATGTTTACATACTACATCAAACTTACATTTCACAATAGCGAAGAAAATTCAGCTTTCCGTGAAGGGCCCTTTCAGTTTATGAGAGTCAAATAAACCTATTGAACGCAGGCAGTGAGGTCAGAATCAATACAGTCAATTACAGACCTTGTCACAGCTATAAAGCGGAAATTTGTAAGGGTGTGTCACTGAGATACATGTGTAATCTCCTTGCCACAGGTCAAGTTTGGTATGAACAGCCAGGATATTTATATAAAAGATAACATCATTATCTGGTACAGCTGCACTGCATCTGTTAGTTTCACATACAAATGACTGTTTCAGATTATGAAGATTATGCAAGATCCTCTCTGAAGGCCTGACATCCTGAAGACTTGCCTTCTGATGAAGCTTGTTGCTAATCAGCTTTGAAGCTATATATTTGAACAGTTTTAAAACATTAATGTATTCTCTTACTTTTTAATAACAAATAAACAAGCCCTATAACTGCACAAAACACTTTTAATGGTTCAAAAATAGTCGTGTAAAATGTTCCGTATCATGGAAAAAGTTTTTCTCACCATTCTATGTAGTGTACTACATAGTTGTTAAAGTTTCACAACATACCATTCACCCCCCGGGTCCATACAGTCCATATATGTAAACTAAGCTTCAAAAACAGCCTGTTTTGAAGTCACTGTTTTCATGATGTCACAAAAACCAACTCATTTACCTGTATCTGCCTATTCAGTCTACAGCAGTTTATCCCCGCCTATTCACACTGATGTTATAAGGAGTGCTTAAGCTCAGACTCCTTTTTTTAATGAGGGCAGCCAATCAGAACAGACCTCATTTACATATTTCACACTTAAAGGCACAGTAACAAAAAACAGCATGTGGAATTCTAAAAAAAAGGCTGAAAAATCATCATGTAGAAATGAATTTAAACACATAAAACCCCAAAAACATCATCAAGAAAAAATAAATTACAAGAAAAATGAATGATATAGGCTCTTCAAGACTGGTTTTGGTGAATAAAATCACACAAAAGTGGATCTCTGGCAAAAAATGCTTTACCATTTTGATTTCTCTAATGTTTTCTTTTATATTAAATCTTTATCAATAAACAGGCAATATTACTGCACAAAAGCTTCAATGTAAACTTTGTTAGCACTGAAATGTTATTATTAAAATGCAAGAAATTTAGCATTGGAAAATTCATTTTGAAAGTTTGAAAAAGAAAAAAGAAGAAAAGAACAGAGCAGTGCAACAGTCAGTAAGTAATGCTTAGTAATGTAAGTAATATAAAGTAATAGAGTATAAATGTGCAGTATTTTTTTTTTATCTAGCATACAATTCAGAAATGAGATCAGGAAGTTGTAATCATTGGAAGCTTATTTGGTGTTACTATGCTTCACCACAAGATGTCGCTGTGTAAATATATTTTTCAGCACTCGGACATTTATGACCAGCTGCAGGCCTGTATACATGTTACAAGTTTGAGTACACCTGGAAACCTTATTCCAATTCAACCTACTTTACCTACTCAACCTACTATATATCATTAAAATATGACATTAGGTACCCGACCCTAAAATTACGTGATGTAATGTAGACTTTGCACACTTCCCATGTTTTAATGCAGACTTACTTATGTAGCCTTGTGCTGGCAGGTGTGAGACACCAAAGCCCTTATAAGTCCTCCTTTTTAACATCTCTGTAGATGCTATACATTCAAAAGAAAAGCACTGCCAATAGAACGGGATGCTCTGGAGCAGCCATGTAGGAACCTAAGGTCACCATGCCTGATACCAAGCAAAGGCATTGGGCCCTATGTGGAGCAGTGGAACTGAAGGTGGAGCTCCATTAATACCTTTCTAATCCAGAACTAATCATGCATCATCAGTACCTGACTTCATTAATGAGTGAATGCAATCAAACAACTTCAACATCTAGTTTAACACCTTCCCAGAAGAGAAGAGGCTGTTATTAAGCCCCCTACCTATAGTCCCATCAGAGAGAGCTGCCCGAGTTTCTTTTACAGGTGGACATGCGTTTGGTCCACATGTTCATCTGGAGAGAGAAATGGGACATACAGCAGTTTTACATATCTATGTGTTGGTAGTTACGGACCAGTTAAAGGACTTGCATCATGCAAACTGAACTTTCCTCTGTTTTGTTGAATAAAAGAGTTATATGTATTATATAAATGTATGTAAATGCCAATATTTTGAAACATGTCATTTAATCATCAGTCCAGTCCAGTCCAGTCAGTTCATATATGGAAACTAAGCTCCAAAATTGGCCTGTTTGAACGAATAGTTCCAATGTGTTTACATATGTCCACCTTTTTAGCTACAGCAGGTTAGCCCCACTAGTTTGTTATATTAATTTGGCTCTGGTTTTACCCTTGGCTTTTTTTTGTATAATTCTGAGCCATGTTTCTAAGCAGGCCTCGCTAATTCTTTCAAAATTTTAATTTTTTAATTTTTTACTACAGTTTATGACTTGTTGATGAATTTGCCTGCCTTCTGTGAACTCTGTTTCTGAAAACGTATCCAGTGAAACCATTTAGCAGTAAAGCGTTAATTAGATGGTACATTATTTAGAAGGTAGATTAGTGATTTATTGAAAAATTGGAAGTCTTTGAAGAATAAACTTAACATAACAATCAACCTAAAACTAACACACATTCGCTGAACATGCTACAATAAGTTAAGTTATTCTGATACATTCTATGGTAAAATGAAACCTGGACAGTGACTTTGGATTTGTTTTGTCCTTTTAACTTGGAGCGTTTACACTGTGTTTTATTCCCACATACCAGTGTTATGATGCACCACCTCCAGGCGCCAGACTGTAACTGCAGCACCATTTAAGATGGAACGGAAAATTTGAATAACAAGCCAACATTAGCCATGCAACTAGCAAATGGAAGCTAACAGCTCATAGATGCTGCTCGCCAGCAGTGTTATGCATAGTCTAGTTAAATGAAAGGACAAAATTAAATGAAAACAATTTACATAGAATGTACACTTATGAAAAAGATGGTTCTTCAAAGGTTCCTTAGTAAAGGCAATGGTTCTATTTAGACAAATACCATGACGCAATGTTAGAGCGAACAAAGACAGAGTATTGTTGCTATCACAAACATTAGAAAACGGGACAAAACAATACTGACCTATTGGTTCTGTGAAACAGCAAAAATAGGTTAGTGTTATTCACATGTCGAGTAGAAACAGAGCACACTTCTCATCCCTTATCATGCCTTTTAACCCTCGATGAAGCTGAAGTCAGCTTCTTTTTCTCCAGCTTCTTGTTTGAATTTTCATGTTCCACCTTAAATGGTGCAGCAGTTCCATTCAGGTGCCTCAGACTCCAGAATGGAACTGCTGCACAATTTAAGGTGGAATGGGAAAATGCAAACTACAGCCTCGTCAACTCTCAGAGGTCCCTCGACTGTTAAAAACGCCCTTGCCTGATCTAAGACCTTCATTCTCAATCTTTGTTCTTCATATCTTCTCCTCTTTGGTTATTTCTCTCCATCTCTTTCTTGACAATATGTGTTCAGCACGTAGCCCCTCCCCTTCCCAGTGCGCAAACGGACAGCTAGTGGACCGTGAGGAAACAATCACTGAATTTGACAAAAAAGTGTAATGGACTGAAATTGTATACTGTGCCTTTAAAGGTTCTTTGGTTCTTTGTATGGTAAAATGGTTCTTCAGATTGATGGAGGATGTGTAATATAGGGTTATATTTAGAACCTTTTACAAAAATGGTTCTATATAGCACCAAAAAAGGGTTCTTCTGTTGTAACGAGCCTGACATCGTAACAATAGATGAATCCTTTTTGGTGCTATGTAGAATCCTTTTCAAAAAGGTTCTATATAGAACCATCTACAGCACAGTCTCCAGCAATCTGAAGAATGCTTTCACGATGCAAAGAGCCCTTTAATCATGCAAAGGGTTCTTTGAGTGTTCATGGTTCTAGCTTGTAACAATGGAAAAACCCTTTTTGGTGCTATACAGAACCACTTCACCATGCAAGGAAGCATTTAAGCATGACATGGTTCTATATGGAACTCATCGTTCTAAATAGAACCATTGCCTTTACTAAAGAACCCTTGAAGAAACATCTTTGTGTACTGTTTAATGCAACAGTATTTAATAGCCACACCCTCACCCTAAGAGACCAAAGCGCATCGACTTTAATATTGATTGTAAAGTGTTTTTCCATTATTGATTAAATCGCCTCTTGTGACAATGAGAAGAAAAAGCATTGTAAAGAATCGGGTGACTGGCGTGAGCAAGGGGAGTGAGTGAGTGAGTGAGTAAGTGAGTGAGTGAGTGAGTAACAGTGCGTGAGTGAGCGAGTGAGTGAGTGATTGAGTGAGTGAGTGAGTGACAGTGAGTGAGTGAGTGAGTGAGTGTGCGAGTAAGTGAGTGAGTGAGTGACAGTGAGTGAGTAACAGTGCGTGAGTGAGCGAGTGAGTGACAGTAAGTGAGTGAGTGAGTGAGTAACAGTGCGAGTGAGCGAGTGAGTGATTGAGTGAGTGAGTGAGTGAGTGACAGTGAGTGAGTGAGTGAGTGAGTGTGCAAGTGAGTGAGTGAGTGAGTGAGTGAGTGTGAGAGTGAGTGAGTGAGTGAGTGTGCGAGTGAGTGAGCGAGTGACAGTGAGTGAGTGTGCGAATGAGTGAGCGAGTGACAGTGAGTGAGTGAGTGAGTGAGCGAGTGACAGTGAGTGAGTGTGCGAGTGAGTGAGTGAGTGAGTGTGCGAGTGAGTGAGCGAGTTAGTGAGTGAGTGCGTGTGGCGGTCACGTGTCGTGCGCTTTGAGGCGGGAGCGCGCACAGAACGGTGGAACCTGTGGATTGTGTCGCGCGCACTGAGGCGGGGACGCGCGTGAGTTCTGCCTCCCACAGCTGTGGGTGAACAGGGGGTTTTCACTGAGGACACCGGGACCGCTAGCCTGTGCTGCTCTCCTCCTCGCAGTGAATGAGAATGGATTGCTCTGAAGAGGTGCAGTCCCTGTCGGACGAAGCCAGCACTCCAGTGGAGTTAAAGAAGGGAATGTCAATCTTTCTGGATGTGAGTAGAACCGCTGAACGAAGGGCAGCACGCACTGAACGGCTCGCTGTGGAAACAATGTTGAGTTGTGCTAATGAACATGATTTATAGCGCCCTGTCGGCTCTGAGCTGATGATAAATATGATGGTGGAGTCACAGATCGTGTTTGTTATCCTGTGTTCCAGACTGTTTATTCGCACTTTGAAAGACTCAGTTAACGTTGTGTTAAAGAGTTATATGAATTCTCGTTAGGTTATATGATGGCATTGTACACATATTTATTGTATGGATAATACTATTATTACCATTATTATTATTATTATTATTATTATTAGTATTATTATTACTTAAAAGCAAAAGAAGGTGTAGATTGACAGCCAGGGCTTAAACAACAGAAATTCATCCAGATGTTTTTATCCTCTGTGTAAGACTTAAAGAGGATTTCTACTGATTTTTTTTAAATCCTGTGTAATTCCGTGCTGGAGATGTAAACAGTCATTCAGAGCAGTTTGATGTTAAATGCATCATTGTAGAAAAACTTACCGACTCTGATCTCTGATTTCTTTACAGTGGTGCTGATAGGAACCAGGAGTCACATTGTCTCCAATAGCCAGTTTATTCACTATCCAAACCCACTAGTGAACCTCCACATCTTCTCAATCCTCACATGTAATGTTGATAATTGAAGAACATTACTATATATATATATATATATATATGTATATATATATATATATATATATATATATATATATATATATATATATCTTCAGTGCTATTTTGCCACACAAAGCCCTGCATGTGCCATGATTGGATTTAAAAATATGGCATCAACCAATATTTTACCATTTAATGTGATGACTCTCTTTGATGTAGTTGAATGTGATGATTCTCTTTGATTGCAGTTTCTACACAATGGAGCACTTCACAACAACACGCCCTGAATGACTTTGTACACACATTAATGATTTAATTATGCTGAATTTTTGAAAAATAAATGGAATTAACCCTTTGATCAGAGATTTCTAGAATCCTCTAGAGGACCAGAGGAAGGTGTGCCTCAGGCTTATGTTTACTATTCTTTTGGCTTTTCTTTGTCTTGCTCATAGAAGTGCATGTCTCCAATTCTGTAAAGTAAAAATTACTATTATGCTTCCTGTGGCAAATGTTGTGGAAAAAACACAAACATTAAGGCATTTTGGTTAAAATAAAAGGGTTGGGTTAATAAAAGCATTGGTCTCTAATATAATTACATTTCTAAAGTTTATTTGTTCAGCATGATTTTGGTGAGCAGGTAAAATGTACCAGTGCTTTTTGTGTGGTGTACAGCAGTTGTTCATAGTCCACTGGGCTTTCTATGCGCTTGGTGTCGTGATGAGCCAAAGAATGATTGATGTCACTTAATGAAACCTTGTTTTTTACTTTTGCTCTCACATATTGTGTCACCGTGTGGTGGACATCACCGCCGTAATGGCTAAGATGACACACATCTCCACTGTATTGAAAAAGATGATGTAACTGCTGAGCCTGTTTACTAGATTAATCACTGTTTTGATGAATTGGACTGCATTTAAGAAAAAATTTAGGGCTACAGCTTCTAAGCCTGATATGCTTCCTGTGGCAAATGTTGTGGAAAAAAACACAAACATTAAGGCATTTTGGTTAAAATAAAAGGGTTGGGTTAATAAAAGCATTGGTCTCTAATATAGTGGTGGCATAGATTTGCAGTAGTTCTTCTCTCAGGAGGAGGCTAAATGCAGCGTGGTCTTGGCATACACACCACGGTATAATTTTTAGAGTGTGAATATTCTTGCTGTGAAATAACATCCTACTTAATAGAGTGCTACTGAGCTTGGGGACTGTAGTTTCTCCTGACTCCTGACTGTTCTTAAAAGCTCTCTTTCACTGAGCTCAGGGACTGTTTTACAGTAAGATTAGACCACTATTATTTTATCACAGTATCATGGTATTAGATGATACTTGAGTTTGCATTAATAAAGATGATGATAATGAACCCACGGCAAAAGAATGTTCCACAAACCTGACACATAGTACTGTACAAAAGTCAGAGACCACCATTCATTTCATTTCCACTCAAAAGTACATCTGTTTTCAGCATCAAAAGAGCAGCAAACATATATTTAACAGACAATGACACAAAAATCTCCAAAAACTAACTATAATATGACATTTTCAGTGTTTATGTGTCCACACTTTGACTTTCTTACAGTGTCCATTCTTTTTGGGAGACTTGCTTTTAGTTTTTTTTTTTTATAAATCTGCAGGGATATTTTTCCACACCATCAAAGTTCAGTCTTTGAAGTTGGTTGCATTTTCTCCCTTTATTGATCCAAGTAATCCCAACCACATTCACTGATGGTCAGGTCTGGGCTCTGTGGTGGATGCCCATTGTTCAGCTTCTTTGTTTCATTTGCAGTTTTTCTTCTCGGCTCTTTCCTTCTCTCACTAGCTCCTTGGTAGCTACACATCCTTTCAGACTCATAGCGTGGAGTGTCTTCTCACAGTGGAAGGATAAACAGAAACACCTGTGGATTTTTTCAGACCTGAATCAAGAGTGGAGGTTGATTTTCTCCTCTCTGTCAAAGATGAAAGCTTTACGTTCTGCTTATTTGGGAAGGGTTTTGAGTTTTGGTGGTCTACTAGGCCTTGCACGGTTGTTAGTGAGTCCCATTTTCTCTATAGTTTTAATCATTTTTTTCAGTTTTGGAAGCTTCTGTTTTTTCTCTTGTTTTCCTTTTACTTTCCTCTTCCTTATGCAAGTGGATTTTGAGTGGAAATTAAATAAATGAAGGGTGGCCTCTAGCTTGGACTGATTTGTTCCATTTTCTTGTCTTAAAATTACACCAAAAGCAACCTTATAACAGTTAAACTGTCCTCTCAAAACAATCTGGAGCACCCACATTCATTGCAGTTGAGCTTTAGTTATCAATCAATATCATTAAAACTAAAAATTGTTTGTGATACCACTAGCGGTGTGCCTGTATAGATGATAGAGCACCCAGCACTAAATACCACTGTAAGAGCTCTCTCCAATGATAAAGATTATTTGAACCCTATGGTGCAGAAGTATCTCCTCATAATTAACAGAACAGAGAACTACTACATCCAGCTATATTATCATTATGTTCTCTTCTTTTTCAGATATTGAGAAGAGCTGACAAAAACGGTAAGACCTTTCGTTTTCAGTCTTCATTGAGTCCATGCATGCATAATATATATGTTGCAGGCAATAAGCCCGTGCCAAGGCAGACTTAGTTTCTCTGTGCGACTGTCCCTCTCACGCCAGTGCTGTTGCTCTGTTGTCATGGAAACACTGGACTGTCCGTACCTCTTTTAATGCCGGTCAATATTTTAGCGCTTTTACACAGGAAACTGGGCGCTAAACAAATGTCACTGTGAGTGCATGCTTGGGCCACCTTTGACTGGCATCGTTCTCACAGGAGAGTAGAGAAATTTAGATTTTGTCTTGTTGATCAAATTGTAGAATTATATGCAAGGCACATTCTTCAGCTGATAGTTTTGCTGAGCATGTCAGCACTGATAATTGTATTTTTGTGGGGCAGTTGAGACCAGATCTAAGATGTAGTTAGGTTGTAATATTGTTAGATAGTCCCAAATTCCCATAAAATAAACAGAAAATGACAATTATGTAGGTTGGTGTAACCTTCATGCAGCCTAGTCGAGTTTGGTTCACACCACCCAACACAAAGTCCTTGCACAAGACTCCTAACACTACATATAGCTACATCTGTATCTGAATAAAAAGTCACTTTGGATAAGACTAGAGCATCTTTCAAATGCATGTATGTAAATAAAATAGAATATTGTATGGACTTCATGCAAATATTGTGCACATCTGTGACTAATGAGATACTTAGAATTCATATTGGGAGATTTATAGTGTTATTGAACCTTTCTAACAGTAACCTGGCTATTCATTCTGTGTTCATCCCAGTCAGTACAGAACTTTGTTAATCCTTATTTGTTAATCTGTACATCTGCGTTTCTCAAACACATGTTGTATTTGGTCCACTTAAAACTACACTATGTAAGATATAGGAATTTGGAGACCTCTCTGGTGGAAATGTGTAATTGCATGTAAAATGAGGAGAGATAAGATACTTTATTGTCATTGCAATGAACAATGACATGTACAATATACAATGAAATAGGGCAGCAACCCTAACGGTACATTAAACTAGGAATAAAAGAAGAATATAAGCTAATATGAAATACAAGATATTAAAAGGAAAAGACTATATAATTTCAATTTAATGAATAAAATAATAAAAATTATATAATTTAAAATGATAAAGAAGTAAAATAAAAAAGGGTGAATATAAAAGAATGTAGCAGCTGTGATATTGCACGTGAGGGTATTGAACATTTATGGATGATAGTGATTCTATTTGCAATAAGTGCAGTTTAATAAATACATATAAAAGTGCCAATGAATGTAAACATCTTTTACTACTTAAAACAGTTTGTAATGTCAGTTGTGCTTTAGACCCCTCCACCGAGCAAATGAATCTCACGATTGTGTGGTTGTTGAAAGAGAATTCAAAGAGAACTCAGTCAAAACTTGGTGATCGAATGTCTTCCGAGGATGTATGTGACTTATCTATGACATACTATTATCATATCATCACCAGTATAATGTTGATTTTGCATTTGAGACCTAAACATCGAGCTGGACCTTCTTTTTGAGCCTGTGTGTGAGGCATAAATACATAAAGGCATACAGCGTGCTCTGAAAAACTCTTTGTGAAATCCGAACTGACACCTCTGACTTTTAAATTATTATTTCACACTTCACACGGCGACTCACAGCGGTGAACGCTCACCATATTTAGCAAGTTTTTTTTCTCCATAATGGTACCCCTTTCAGTTTTAACAAAATATCTTACAAAGTGCAGCTTTAAATTATAGACTTCACTGACTTCTTTTACATGACTGCTAAATGACTTGCCATAACACAGTAAAAACTAAATTTCACAGTGGTCTGTGTTCCTCCCCATCACTCCCCTTGCCATTCTTTCACCTTCCTCCAATGCTCCTCCTATGAGTCTCACTTTTTTAAATTCAGAATTAGTGGCTGTGTTGTGTGTAGCCTGTGCTGTCATGCTTATGTTCATGCTATTTTGAGTGCATGCTGGTATGACTCACCTCAGGACTTGCGTATGTCACCATTTGCAGACCAACCTGAGGGCACAGGCGCACAAGCTCACTGCCCCCTCACTTATATTATGGTGGGGCATCTCTGTTTCCACACCTACACAGTGCTCACTCCCAATAACAACTCAAAACCCATCATATAAGATACACATCAGTATTTTCTACACTTGACCCTGTGCCAGTCTGTTCACATCCTGGAGAGCTGAAGTTTAGCGCAATTTGATTTGACTTATCAGTTAATTACAAGGTTTAGTTGGTGTGTTGGAGCAAATCACCAAGCTGGACTCCTGCCCTCCCTAGAATTGGAACTGAAAACACTGCTCCGTGCCATGAATATGATTGCCTAACAGTGCTGGGGTAACATGTACACAGTAAAACGTTATGTAATGTAATTACTTTTCCCTGTAACACAGTGTTGTTACGCATTACAGTTACTGACTTAAGAATTTCCTTACTTGTGTTAATCAAATGTCTCTAACAGAACAATATTACCTACATGTGATGCATTTAAAATATAAATTTCCTTTATATACAGTTGCATGCAAAAGTTTTTCTGTGCCCCTGATCAAACAACGTTATTTCGGAGCCCTGCTGGAGACATCCCACATAAATAAAAATTGTGTATGGCTACAACTTAGTAAGGCATGGGAATGAGATAATTCAGTCATGGTCATAAGTTGTATTGTTTTTATTCATATGGGATGTCACCAGCAGGGCTCCGTACGTTTTGATTTTGAATGTGAAAATATTTTAACATGTCCTCTACAGAGAACACTCTTCTGCACATTTTAATACATACTTGCTGTTGATTTGCTGAATTTAACATAATGGAAAAAATAATAAAACAGGAAATGTAGCCTGTCCAATAGTTAAGGCATGTTTTATATTTTTTGTTTTATTTTTACCAATATGTCCAACTTCAAATAAACAGAAATTGTGCATGAAAATCTGCAGAACAATGCCATTATAGAGTGTGTTCTCTGTAGAGGATGTGTTAACATATTTTCACGAACAAAACATTAATTTGACCAGGGGGGGTGCAAACATTTGTACATGACTGTAGTTTATCCTATGAGCAGCACAGCGAGAACAAGATCTGTAAACTCAACAAACAGTCACCTAATTGTGGCTCCTAATCATGCTAGTATGAAACTGACAGACAGAAAATCCCTGTGCTGAAGAAGACAGAGCCCCACACTCACCAAACAGATGAGATTTTTACAACAACTCTACAAGCTTTACAAGATTTTATTTCAAGGTGGTTGTTCTCGGACTGTTTCTACTGACTAGTTTCTAGGTTTGTGGACAACATCAGCTGTTAATAATTTTAATCAAGCATTACCATCAAGTATAGTGAGAGGCTTTTCCAATGATGTTTACTGTGACTGATTAATTCTTTTGAAACAAAGTACTGAAAAGGGCTACTGGGTTTGCCCCTGCACTTTCTAATATGTACACATGTGTTTGGGTTTTAGTGAGTAACAGAAGTAATGTAAAATAATGAATAATGAGATTAATACCAGGAAGTAATGAGCAAAGTAATCCCATTACATTTTTAAATAAGTAGTTAATTATTTTTCTATAGATGAATTTTTTTTAGTAATTACTCACTGCTGATGCTTTAACACTTTGTTTTGCTTTTACAGATGATGGGAAGTTGTCCTTTGAGGAGTTTAAGGCTTATTTCTCAGATGGAGTTCTGTCAGGAGATGAACTGAAAGAGCTCTTCCATACGATTGATACTCATAATACAGAGTAAGTAAATAAGTTATGTATTCCCTGTTTACGTTTACTGTATCTATGTGTAATTTCAACACCAAAGCAATTACTTATAATGCTCACTAATGCTGCTGTTGCTGAATGCCATCAGCCTCACAGCAATGTTCTGACAACTAATGTAAAGCCTTATCAGAAGAGTAGAAGCTGTTACTGCAGCAACAGGGGAACAAACTCCCTGTTAACGCCTTGATTTCAGAAGAAATGTTGGATGAGCAGGTGGCTTTTTACAATATATACACAGTCATACGCAAAGGTTTGGGCACCCATTTGTCAAATTACATGTTTTGTTAATTTTCTGTGAAAATAAGTTAACATATCCTCTATAGAGAACAGATGTAGACGTATTTTAGTGCACAATTATTGTTTATTTGCTGAATTTGACATATTGGATAAAATGTGCAAAAGTTTTGGCACATTTTATATTTCATGTTTTATTTTTTTTATGTGGCAAACTAGAAATTAAGCATGCAATATGCAGAAAAGTGCCATATTTAAGTTTTTCCCTGTAGAGGTATATGTTCACTTATTTTCACCTAGAAAATCGACAAAATATAATTTGTACAAACTTTTGTATATGACTGTATATATACATTCACTAGTCACTGTATTAAGGACACCTCCTTCTGTCCACACTTGTTGTCCATTTTATCAGCTCCACTTAGCATATAGGTGCACTTTGTAGTTCTACAGTTACAGATTGTAGTCCATCTGTTCATTTGCTTTATTTGTTAGCCTCTTTTTACCCTGCTAATGAAAGGTCAGTGCCCCCACAGGAACACCACAGAGAAGGTATTATTTGGTTGGTGGATCATTCTCAGCACTGCAGGGACACTGACGTGTCCACTCACTGTCCACTCTGTTAGACACTCCTACTTTGGTCCACCTTGTAGATGTAAAGTCAGAGACGATAGCTCATCTGTTGCACAGTTTGTGTTGGTCATCCTCTAGTCCTTAATCAGTGGTCACAGGACGCTGCCCACAGGACGCTGTCGGGTGGATGTTTTTGTTTGGTGGACTATTCTCAGTCCAGCAGTGACACTGAGGTGTTTAAAAACTCCAATAACACTGTTGTTTGTGACACGTCCACTATCATGTCAGTGTTACTGCAGTGCTGAGAATGATCCAAATAATACCTGCTCTGTGGTGGTCCTGTGAGGGTCCTGATCATTGAAGAACAGAGTAAAAGGGGTCTAACACAGTGTATGCTGAGAAACAGATGGACTACAGTCTGTAATTGTAGAACTACAAAATGCACCTGTTTAGCAAGTGGAGCTGGTAAAATGAACAATGAGGGTAGATTAGGCTCATGTTGCAATACTTAAGTTCAGTCTTGAGAGTATCTTGATCTCGTACTGGTCTCAGCTCCGTTTGGACTAGGTCTTATCTTGGTCTTGGGATAAGGTGAACTCTTAAATTGTTGCTGAGACCAGTCGAGGGCAGGGCCTCCATCTGAGGTAACTGGACTTTTTTTTTCACCATGATTAAATATCAACAAAACCTTCAAACAGAATGAAACAGTCTTTTCTCTACATGTTTAAATCAAATCTGTTCACTGCCTGTTGAGAATCTAATTGATCATTCCATGATGGTTTAATTGGGTGCTATTTTTGTTGATGCTCATTGGTTCCAAAATTAAAATGTCCCCTGAGGGCAGATCAGAATATTATTATCACAGTGTTTTCATTTCATAGCGAAAAATGGATGAATGTTGTTTGGTTTATATTCCGTTGACTTAAGGCTGTGATTCTGAATAGGTTTCATAGCAGAGACAGAGAATAATCACCATCATTTACTTCCAAAAGTTACAATGCAAAGTTAAACTGAGACAATAATATAATAATAATAATATTTTTAGGCTATGTATCATTTAATGTTAAATATTAAAAATATTATAAAATATAATGTTATTTATTCATATATCATGAATGTACAATGTACTACAAATGATTTTTAATTTCTTCCCTCTTTTCTTCTTTTCAGTTTTATATTTTGAAAAAATCTTGATCTGGTCTTTGTCTTATTTTGGACTTGACCACTCCTGGCCTTGGTCTTGACTCAGACTCAATGTGTCCAGGTCTCAGTCTCTACTCAGACTTGCCTCTAGTGATCTTGTCTACACTAGATTAAGGTTGCACAATGACATCGGAATCATATTGTTATCGGCAGAAATTGTAAAATGAAAAAGGTTGTCTGATGTTTAGATTTGGCCAATGTTTTAATCCGATATTTGATGTATTTACTGAACTCCAGAAAAGCAAAACGTTTAGGTGACACTGTACTACTGAGCTAAAACGTCAGTATTTTATTCATTTTATTGCATTTGTAACCCTCTACAGATACAAATGCTTGTCACATTTCTCTGTAATTCAAATTCAGTGTCAATTTCTATATATTTTTAAATGTTTATATAGCAGCATCTACAGATATGTATATGAAAATGATCTGATATCACCCACAAGGTAGGTGTGAGTGTATGTAGGTGCCCTGTCATCTATTTTGACTACATTCAGAGGGTTGACTTTTTCTTACCAAAGATTTCCATACCTGCACAATATAGATTGAGCACGAATTCCTCTCTTTGTCCTGGTGCTTTGATGTTTGTTGACAGAGCAGAAGGTGCAAAAAGAATCTCTCTCTATCATGGCCACTGTTTGTGTTGGCTGTACTGAAGCTTACTTGTTTTTAGCTCTTGCCCCCTCAACAGTCCTGTGCCTGATAGCGAATGTCATAAGCACAGGCTCTGTTGTGTGGAACATCTGAGAACTACGAGGAGGCTTTTTCACTACAGACCCAACCTGACACCTGACAGCCATGGTAGACAGAGCCTTATCTATATTCAGGGCTAGTGCGGGGTATATTCACATTGTTGATAACATTAGTTAACCCCGTAAACTTAGATTAGACACTTCAATAACCTTCGATGCAGACCTTTTTTGTTGTAGTGTTTGGTGGTCTTCTGTTTACTTCTATAATGATAATAAGCACAGTTTAATGGATTTGATTGCTCTGTGGTTGACTCACTTAAAGTGAACGCTAGATCTGCCTGCTACATCATATTTTACTGTAATTGCGATATGAGTTTCTGCCATAAATACGTAATTTACTAGCCTGTAAAAATGCTTCAAACATTAGGGTTATTCTCACAACAAACGTGCATCACTATAAAGCACTTTGAAAGGAAAACACTTTATTTATGCCTTTCAAGACCTCAAGGACACAGTACAAAGTAAATGTTGACTGTTTCTCAGCCTTTCAAGGCACAAAAACGTGCTTGCAGTTCTGATACAAGCAGCTGTTAACATTTCATTGCTTTTAATTTTGTGCAATGCTGAATGGTGATTTTGTAATTTTGGCACACTATTTTAATAATAATTTATCACGTCTCATATTGTGATATACAGCAGCTTTATTGAGCATCACATTTTATGTTCATATCATGCAGCCCTGTGTGAAGCACTTACCAGCCTAATTAACAGAAATGTACAAAGTATTTGTACTGGTGTGCAAAAAATACATACATTCATACATACATACATCATTTAAACCGCTTATCCTTCTGGGTTGCGGTGGGGTGCTGGAGCCTATCCCAGTTGTCATTGGGCGGAAGGCAGGATACACCCTGGACAGGTCGCCAGTCCATCGCAGGGTGGTGTGCAAAAAATAAAACACATTATCAATTATCAATAACAACAACAACAACAGTAATAATAATACTATGACACAATATTAATGTAATGCAATAACAATAAACAACCAACCAAATAAATAAATTAATAAAAAAATAAAGATTTACATTAATATTTAAAACACCTATATACTTTTAACTCTGAAAAGATTTTTTTTTCTGCGGAAAATGCTGGACTGTTCCTTTAAACTACTGGATATTAACTGTCAAAGATGTCAATGTGCTCGGAGGAAAACACTAAACACCCACGCCTGCCATGTCACACCTAACTGGCAGGTATATTGCTTAGTAAGCCTATTACTCTCTGTCAGCTTCGGCACTCAGAAAAGCTGTTAATTCAACATCAATCACACTGAAACGGCTTATTTTTACTGGACTTTCAAATATGCCAAAGTATAGTATTGTGCAAAAGTCATAGACCACATTATTTATTTAATTTACCATCAAAATGGGCATAAAGTACCAGTTATTCATTTTTCAGAGGGATTTCTGAGTAGATTAGATATAAAATAATCAAAGGAAAATAAGTGAATAAACAGTTTTAATGATTAAAAGACAGAAAAAATAAGACTCATAACTGTGCAGGACCTGGTAGACCCCCAAAACTGTCCCCATCAGATAAACTGAGTACACTTAAAGGGTCAAGGGTTCAAGGGTTCTTTAGTAAAGAAAAAGGTTCTATATAGAACCATAAGCACTCAAAGAACCCTTTGCATGATTGAAGGGTTCTTTGCATGGTGAATGCGTTCTTCAGATTGATGGAGAATTTGCTGTAGATGGTTCTATACAGAACCTTTTTGAAATGGGTTCTGTATAGCACCAAAAAGTGTTCTACTACTGTTACAATGTCAGGCTTATAGAAGAACCCTTTCTGATCCTCTATGGAAGCCTTTTCAAAAAGCTTCATCTACAGCACATTTTCCATCAATCTGAAGAAACCTTTCACGATTAACTCTTTAATCATGCAAAGGGTTCTTTGAGTGCTCATTTTCTTTACTAAAGAACCCTTGTAGAACCATCATTTTAAGTGTGCACTTAAAGCTTTCATCTTTGACAGAGAGGAGAAAATCAAGCTGCTTCAGATCTGAAAAAATCCACAGGTGTTTCTGTCCATCCTTCCACTGTGAGAAGACAACTCAGCACTATGTTTGAAAAGATGTGTAGCTGTCTGAGAAAAGAAGAACATTTGCTGATTGTTCTCTGACCATCCAGAGTCCAGACCTCAACATCATTGAATGTGTTTGACATTATTTTGATTAAGAAAGGCATAAAATGCAAAACCAGCTTCTAGGACTATTCCTTCTAAAATATTCCTGCAGATTTCTTAGAAAAACTAAAAGCAAGTCTTCTGAAACGAATGAAAGCTTTAATAAAGGTAAAGGGTGGACCCACTAAATATTGAAAAATTTAGTATTATATTTAGTTGTTAAGGCTTCTCTGCAATTGTCTATATACCTATACAGTTTAAAGGTCTTAGGTACATTATTGAAAACCATTTATGTTGGCAGTAAGTGTTTGTGCTTGTAAAAACACTGCAAATAAATAAAAGTACATCAAAAAGTAACTAGATTTTCTTTGTCTGAAGAACAAAGTTTGGTTCCAGATTTCTCCTGGACTTTATTGAATTTAATGAAAGATTGATTAGCCAAACCAGGTATTGTGTGATAGCTGCAAAACACTGGGCTTCCTCGAGGATAGATTTTGACTGGAAATCTAATAAAAGAGGCATGGTTTCTGACTTTTGCACAGTATTGTATGTAATCCAAATAGGGCAACTGTCTGCATAAACCCTAGGACCTTATGAGGCAAAGAAAAAAAGCTAGCACTAGGTTGCAGAGTGGGTGTTTCATGCATTTAAATGACCTCACTTAGACGTTGTGTTTGTTTTCATGTGGTTCGAAAACATTCAGTTCCTTTAATAATGCTAAAGGAAGTCATCTCTGTAAATGAGCACTTGCTGCATGTTCTCTTATCAAATTGCAGATTCTTTCTGATCATAGATCATCATGACTTAAGCATCATGTTTGGTTCTGAACAGCAAGTGCTAAACATTCTCTTATATAAGTGTTTTAGTGTATCCTTGTCAGCAAATGGAGACTGAAGTAATTTAGTTGCAAGTATGTCTATGGAGACTGAGTCAGTGTGTTGCATAAGAAAAAGCCGTGCTCCTCCAGAGTCTGTTCCATGCTCAGCATGACAGTGGCACAGGCTTAATAATGATGTTATGCTTGACTTGATTTAAATTGTTTAAAACCCTCTGCTTTTAAACCCTACAAACTTTCAGTTCTGTTAGTGTTTTATGCTACTGTAATATGATATCCTGCTGTTATTTTTAGTGCTTCGTGACACAGAGTGGCGTTGTTTGCTGTCCGCGTTGCTGGGAGACTTTTTTTTCTTTGATTTAACAGACAAATTGAGTGATATTAGGCTTATTGGCGATTTACCCTAGGTGGCTTCTGAGGTTTTGTGGTTCTATCAATATGTTAATTGAAGGCTGTGCCTCCTGCTAACAGGTCTAGCCAGACCATCAGCTAGCCGTCTGGCCCATCAGATCACTGGGTTTGCCTGACCGCAGAGCTTGTGCTGCCTCTAGGATGGCAGCAAACGCAGACAGTGCTACTAGATCACTGTCACACATCGTAAATCTGACAGTCCGCAATGCTGAAAGCAGAATTATGATGGCTCTAACCCATTCATATCTAGCACAAAACAGCAGATGACAGGATGCATACAGTGATTGAATAATGAGCCATAAAAAATCGCTTGAGGCTACACTGTCTGGACAGGTGACAGGTTAAGTGTACTCACGATTAAGTTTAATTAAATGTGCTGTTTTGAAATCACAGTTAAATTTGCAAGAAGTGCCTGGAGTCTTTATAAGTAAAGTAAGTACATAAAAAACATAATAAAAAATGATAAAGTAATTAAACCATAGATATTTACAAGGATTATGATATGATCTATTTAAACCCAAGGCATTGACTGAGATAGTAATAAGCTAAATGTATACAAAAGCATCATTTATAGGGCACTTTCTTTTGGAAGCTGGCTGTCCCAAACCCTGAGCCCTAAATATACACTTGTGAAAATAATACTTGCATTTCTTTTGTATTTGTTTTTTAAAAGATGCTATGAATTAGACGAAACTGAAAGATTTAGATTCATCATGAGTTTAATTAAAAAAAATTCAAAACCTGCTGTTTCATGTTTTTATGTCACTATTGAGTTTTAGTCCATCGGCAAAGCCTTATTTTAGCCACACCCCTGCATTTTAGAGCAGGAAGTGAGACTGCATCCCTGTCCCTCATGGCCACATGGTGAGCAGTTACATTGTTTTGAAGTAAATATGCCCCATAAATTTGTGTGTACAGCTGTTCAAAGCTGTGTTTGTTAGTCATGTAATGGCCGGTGTTTTTGAGTTTTGTTCAAAATTAGCTAAATTTGTCATTTGCGAAACATTTGGTAAGGTTTTGGAGACGTTATAATTTTTTGTGTAGTGACAAAATGGGGGTGGCACAGCGGATAGCACCCTCGCCTCACAGCAAGAAGGGTGTTCAGTTTCCCGGCCAGGTGACCAGGGTCTCTTCTGTGTGGAGTTTGCATGTTCTCCCTGTGTCTGTGTGGGTTTCCTCCGGGTCCAAAGACATGCAGTCAGGCCGATTGGACAGGCTAAATTCCAAGGTGTGAATGCATATGTCAGTGTGTCTGCCCTGCGATGGACTGGCGAGCTGTCCAGGGTGTATCCTGCCTTCCTCCCCAGTGACCGCTGGTTTTCTAAGCGGTTCAGAAAATGAATGTGTGACAAAATGGACTGTTCACTCATTTATTTTAATAAAATAAACATAATTACAGCATAGGGTCATTCAAAGTGAAAGGATTTTAGTCTAAAGTTAGTTAAAAATCCAAAATGTGTTTTTTTAATCTCTGACTGTGAACCAGTTCTGTGTAATGATCCATATACACATCAGTGCTGAGCCTTTGAACTGTATCCAACATAAAACTATAGTTCTTTTAATTACTTACTGAGCTTATTAATTATTGAAACTCATATGCTGACTCTATGGCGTTTATGAATCTATGGACGACTGAAATAACTGTATGATCTTTTTCTTCCAGCAATGTGGACACAGATGAGCTGTGTGGTAAGAAGAGATTTTTTAAATTTATGATTGAGATAGTGATAAGACATTGTGTCCTTCTTTGCGTAGACAGTGTGCTTCTGTGGTGACTATCAGTCTACTGAAGTGTCCTTTCTGTGCTTTAGCTTGGCAAGTCACAACTGCTCTCAATGGGATACATCTTTAAAGCAGCCAAATATAATGATAAAAACGATAAGTTTAAAATATTAAGTCGAGGAATTTTGTAAATTTTTGTTTATTATGACTCTTATGTGTCATTCTCAGAATACTTCTCTCAACATCTTGGGGAATATGAAAATGTTCTTGCTGCTTTAGAAGACCTGAACGTCTCTATATTAAAGGCTATGGACAAAACCAAAAAGGTGAGTGATTTTCATCATTGTTCTTTGCAATGTTGTGCACATACTGTACAACTTTATGTAGCTACATGCATTGATTACCAGTAAGTTGTGCATGCAAATAGTTCTTTGAGTGTTCATGGTTCTATATAGAACCATTGACTTTACTAAAGAACCCTTGAAGAACCATCTTTTGTAAGAGTATAGATGCAGTGCATGTTCACATAGAGAGCCCTCCTGAAAATAAGGCTTTTATTTGCTGTGGACGCTTGTTAGGACCCATATTTCTCAAAAACGTCAGTGTGTGTCTTGGATTGTCTGAAGTTTGTTTTGTTTCTCCACACATTAATGTTCCCTTCACGCTGGTGGAGGCGTGTCTTCATCATGCCTGTCTATAAAACTTTGCTTTGTTCTGTGTTCGTGTTTGTGTTTTTGGCGTTTGATGTTGATGCGAGGTTTGTGTTTTGTGACAGAGCCTTTATAATTTTACTGTCAGAGTCTCTTGTGAACATAATGTTCCTGTGCTCTAGAACGTGTCTGTGGTTTCATAAACATTGAAGTTGTTTGTGAGTTGCTCAAAGGTTTTTTTTAACCCCTTTTTGAAAAGTGCAACTGTTTGTTTTTGTCTTAGTTTAGACGTTACAAATGATCGATTTTTCTATGCCCAGTTTCTGGGTTAGGGTTTTCCTTGAACTCCTCTTTAGTCTGAGACTGAAAGAAAAAACCTGCAAAGAAAAACACCAAAGCAGACACTAAGGCTGTTCAACTCCAAACAGTTTGGAGTTGTTTCTGATTCCAATTTCAAGTAATGGGAATTGGTTGAGTTGATTTCACATCATAATCTTAATTCCAGAAACCAACACTGTCAGAAATAAAGGTTCTGTGCAGGTACATTTTTCGTTCATCGAGGTACAAACAATGTAAATGTTCCCTCAAAGGTACAACAGTGGTTTTAAAGTCCAGTTATGTACCTCAAATAATTTTTTCCCAGGTAAAAAAGTACATATTGGTGGTACCTTTTCATAATCTAATGTTCTAAAACAGAACAATAAAATAAAAAGCCTGGAGACGCGACGGGGTGTGTGGAGTCAGTACAATTTAGAGAATATAATTTCAACAGATTATGGTACAGTTATGTTCTCTGACTAAAGGTACTGAGATGTATCCTTGAGGATTCCAACCCAGTGACAAGAGGGGTACTGCCCCAGTGACAGTTTCATACCTTTATTTCTGAGAGTGTAGATATGGGCAAATATGAATTATATTTTACATTAGCAAGGCCATTTGAAAGGGTAAAACTAGCTAAACTGACTAACTAACAGGGCCGACCACACTTTCAGAAAAAAAGGTCTGAAACTGTCACTGGGGCAGTACCCCTCTTGTCACCGGGGTGGTACCCTCAAGGGTACATCTCAGTACCTTTAGTCATGAAACATAATTACACCATAATCTGTTGCTTGTATTGTGTGTTGATTGACATTGTATTGACTCCACACACCCCGTCTCGTCTCCAGGGCTTTTTATTTTATTGTTCTGTTTCAAACATTAGGTTATGAAAAGATATTACTTATTTAAGGTACACAACCGGATATGTTGTAACTGGCAATGTTGTTCCATTGTAAGCCAACGAATAACTTTTACTGTGTTTTCTGCTTGGCTAAAGTAAAATACAGTGTTGTGGAAGGATGTATTTTTTCATACAGGCTGTCTAAACAGTGACAGCAGAATATTTGTGTGCATGCAGTTGACGGCAAACTTCAGTGTCACTGTGTGGAATTGATTCCAAAGCTTAGAAATTGAGGAATTGATTTTCATTGTGAAAAAAATTCGGAGGCTTAGCAGATACCAAGGTCTGAGGCTTGGTGATGTTTCAGTCTTGTAATTGTCTTGGCCAGTAATAACTTCTAACATATGACTAGTTCTTCTCTGGTTTATTTGGCCCAGTGCTTCTGTAAAATGGGCTTGACTGAACAGTGATGTCCTGTTATTCCAAAATGATGAACACTGCCCAGTAAAGCCAGAAACATTAACTGGGTAATGACCTATTCCCTCATATTTGGTTAAACCTGTGAGAGCATACACACTTTACTATCTCAATATGAACTGTAAAGGTAAAGTGAGCATAAGGTGTGATGTACATAGATTTTTGTTTGCTTGTCTTTTTTCACCTTGTTGCATCTTGCAGAAAACAGAAACATCAGTATTTTGATAGCTATAGGCACTAATTGCTATTGGATGCCTATTTTGTGTTACGACTAGCAGCAGTTTTTCATATTCTGTCACTATATCCTCTGACTCTTTCATCTAGCATATTACAGCCATTCTCCCAGAATCGCTCCAGCTCCAGTCTATAAAAACCTCACACCTGCTTTTTTACTCCCACACACAGCCATGCTTCATTCATACTGACAGTCTGTTACTGTAAAGGGCCCATATCACATTTTTCTTGAGATCCACTTTTGATATCAGTGTGTTTATGTAGCAAAAACAGCCACAATTCATGTTCACATGACCATTTTCCATTCTATCTTCATCTCATAGAGTTTAAACAGTTTGTTTCTGTGATTGTGTCTGTAAGATTGATATATGTAAATAAGCACTGTTCTGATTGGCTGCTCTGTATTATACCTCTTTTGAAAAGCAGTCTGGACTGAAACACTCCTTATAACTTCAGTGTGAATGGGTGGGGTTAAACTGCTGTAGGCTGAATAGGTGTAAATGTGCTGTTTTTTGTGACATTACAAGAACAAAGGAGTTGAAAACAGACTGTTTTCGCAGTCCAGTTTCCATATGGACTGGGCAATGAATGTTTTTGCAATTTTAACAGGGCTGAAAAATGCATGGCTTTCCATGATATGAGTCCTGTAAGGTGATTTAAAGTAGAAGTATGTGTGCATTTGTACAAGTATTTTGATTGAGTTAATAAACAGATCATTTTGGAAACATGACTACAGTTTTTTAATGACTTACTGATGCAGAAATAACTAGTCTGTGAACCAGTTTTGATAACGGCGTATAGTGCTGTTATTATACAGTGCAGACTGCCTGTGAAGTATGGCTGTAATTGGGCACAGTCTGGAATGTAGTAAAAAAATCCATTCAAAATCTGCTAAATATGGATTTACGATAGTTTGAAGAAGTTCAGTGTTGCGAATGTTAACCGTAATGCATTTTATTGTAGCTTCAAAGACAGTGTCATAATAGACATAATAGCTGTCTGGGAGAACAGTTTATTGCCAACATTAGCATGTCACTCTTCAAAAGATCAGTAAACCTTCTTTCACTCCTAAAAGAATCCTGCTAAAAATACAATCTATAAAGTGATCTTTTGGCTTTGATCTTGTCTTGCTGTTATGTTTATTATTCTCAGCCATGCTGATATATGCATGCTCATTACTCAGACCTGAGAAATAGCTCTTATCTTCCAGAGCTGAGACTGCATGTCCTTGTTATCATGAAAGGCCAGCCTGACCATCATAGAAGAACACGGGTACCAAATGTATTCTTCAAACGTCGCAGAGACACTTAACCGAGGCCAGTTACTGCTTTGCTCAGATAACAAATTGCTGAGACCCTGGTCCTGCAGTGACACCGCAATGCATGTCAGAGGGTTAGTTTCAGGTGTTAAAGGGCAGTAGTGTTTGTGATTTGGCTCTGTTTAAAAAAAAAAACTGATGTCTGATCCATCTTAATCAGCATATGGTAGAGAAATTCTTTGTGTATGGATTAACACAGGAAGACCTTTTTTTAATGTTATACTAAGCAATTCACTTTCCATCAGACCAGACTCTGTAAAATATAGCATTCAAGAGATCACAGTAACAGCATTCTGACCATTGACATAAGTCTATGATACTGACAGCCAGGGCACAAGATGTGAGATCATATCTGAACATTTTTTTTGTATTTTATTTTTCTGTGAGGTCCACTTATGACATTTATGTGTTTTTTATGTACCAAAAATGGTCATAAAAATTAAATTTTACACACCCAACCAACCTGTATCCCTTTAAATTAAACAGGCTATTTTAATTAAGACTAAAATATGTTAATAAGCTGCATTCTGTATTACACCTGATTGGCTGTCCTGTATTGCACTTAATTAAAAAAAAGCAGTCCGAGTTGAAGCACACCTAGCATTAGCATAAACGGGTGGGGCTTAATTGTTGTATCCTGAATTTTTTTGTGATATCATAAAAACAGTGAACTTGTATTTACATACTACATTAAACATACTACATTAAAGCTGCACTGTGTAAGTTATGGGGATCTGGAGACCTCAATGGTGGAAATGTGTAATTGCTTGCAATGTGTGGAGGAACATTTTGCATCCTAAGCATTTTGTGCCTTGGACCCCTTCCCCGAGTGGATGAATCTGGTGAGTGGGAGCGTGTTGAATCAGAATTCAAAGAGAACTCAAGTCAAGTCAAAACTTGGTAAAGGACGAATTTTCCAAGAATGTAAGCGAATAATCTACTGTTCCTCATCGGTATAATGTTGATTGTACATTTGAGACCTAAACATCAAGGAATATATGAACTGACATGGGAAATATAGCCTGACACAGGAAATATGACCTAACGTTGACTTTTGACTTATTATTTTAGGCTTGGGGAACTCACATCAGCACATGGACAGAACATTTTAGCTTGGTTTTTTCATGCTGATCCAATTTTAACAAAAATCCTACATAATGCAGTTTTAATCTCCTTTATTTCAAAACAGCGAGGTCTGGTTTTCCATGATATTTCCATGATGGCCCTTTACCCCATCTTACTTAATGTACAGGCTGCGATGCACTCAGAATGTTTGTCTCCTTTAACTCATTAAAATCTGACCCCAGAGTAGTTGGTGAGTGTCCATGTCCACACTGGTGATATTAAAACAGATCAGCATGTGGAATTGTTTGGATGTTCTACCATGTTGTTGATCACTGTATAAAAGAAGCTCTGTGCTGTTTTTATTGTTGGTTGCACTGTGTGTGCACACATTCAGAATGCAGTTCAGATTGCCATTGAAAAATACGTATTATTGGTTTGTTATTGTTATTGATTAGACCATTTAATCAACAATAAAAGAAGACTGAAGTATGAAGTATATGCATATTTATATATGACTGCTTGCTCAAAGTGGTAGTTTCTGGTACAAGCAGTATAAAAATCCATACATTTTCAGCTTTGTTAGATCACATTCTTTTCATGTCAAAATAAATGCGACAACAGCATTGAGAAATCGCACTATTAAAGGAGAAGAGTAGGTTAAAAGGCAGAAACTGCCGCTTTGGCCTGGTATTAAAGGGTTAAATGTTGGAAACGGGAGATTAGCATAGATGCGGGCTATTTTAATACTGCATTCACACTTTGTCGTACATATTTTCCGCAGAAGTGTGACATTTTTAGGGCACATTGTGAAAATCCAGTTCAGATGCTGAAGCGGAGAAACAGTTGCTGCACACTAATAGGGCAGTGAGGAGAGTGACAACAGACGATTGCAATATCTACAATTCAATTACAGGCGAGATGTGGAGATTACAAACTGGTGAGGATGCTTGGGGACCAGCAGAATTGACGATGATTTCTTCAAAGATAAACCTCTAAGCAGCAAAGCCAATTTTCTCCTGTCATATGGGGTTTGTGATGAGTGATTACATCTTTAGCGACCATCAGATTTATCATAGCTAACCTTAGAGATGACTGTAAAAGATAAAGGTATTTGACAGAAATAGTGTGCGGTATTGATTTCCATCTGTCTCTTGCGCCAGGTCGGCGTGTATTTTCCTGCCATTAATCATACATTAGACTGGAAACATTACAATGTGGTGCTGATTGAACTGTGCCTGCGTAGGAGAGCCAGCTGCTGTTGTTCATGCTGCCTCTGTAGACAAACAACACCAGCAATATACCAGCAGATGTTTCAGCCTTTTATATTATTATCAAAAAAATGTCAGCTATGAGAGCTGTGTGAGAAGGCAAAACACTTTGGGAGTATTTAAGCATTGGGGGCATTTTTGCGTTAAATGTCTCAGACTTGTAGTTTAAGAAAGTGGGAAACTCTTTCATCGATTAACCATTCAGTCATGTGTTAAAGCCTGTGTTCATGACCTTGAGGCAGCTGATGGATCTGAACAGTCAATACTGTGTTTGTGATGTCTTACCTGGCAAACTACTCAGGCAATGATATGGTAGTGACAGTTTACATTCCTTGAATGCAGTAAGGATGTACAGATATGGAATTTCTGGTCTGATAACAATGACCTGTAATTACTGCCACCTTGTTGTGGCTGATACCAATAACAAATTGCATTTTAAAAGAAGTTCACATTATAAGGTGTATATGAAGTTCAGTGAGTGTAAGAAAGCTTATAACTCAAAAGATGGATCAATACTTTTCATTAGACCAGTTCATTGGGCTCCTGAATGGCACAGCGGTCTAAGTGTTGGCCCTATCATTGAGTTCAATCCCCAACAATGCCTCAGCCATCTATGGCTGGGAATCCAAGATAACTGTCCTCCGTCTGGGTGGGTAGGATAGTCCGCCATCCTCCCCTCCTTCCCCATCACCCAGTGTAATGCCAACCAAAGTGGTCGTCTTTTGGCTGTCGCACAAAATTAGCCGTTAGCATTGTCCTCCAAGCGCTGTCCAGTGACATTGTGTTAGCAGCAGTGTGGAGTTCCATGTATCTTGAAGGAAGCATGTGCTAGTCTTCACCTCAAAGCTTATTAACATTGTGTGATGGGGCAGACTTAGTTGGTGGGTGGAACTTGCAGTAGCTAAGTTGTGGAGAAAATTGGTAATAATAACATTAATAATAGTAATAGTTAGTGTAAGTTTTCCTTACTAAGTAACCATGACATTGGTAAATCAGGCATGGTATTTATTGTATTCATTTACATTACTCTGCATGTGTAATGCTTTTATCCAGAGGCATTTATAATGCTTGGTGAATGTAGTATTGGGGGTCTTTCCAAAGACTATTATTGTTATAGCTGTGGCATTCCTAACACCTAAGAAAGTTGATACAGGCATGCCCAACACTAATGACTACACATGCTTTAGTTTGGGTGAGAGCCCAAAAGTAGGTGACTATTTTTAATTATTGGTCATAATTACAGTTGAATGCAAAAGTTTGAACACTCCTGGTTACATTGCATTTTGTTATTTTTCTAAGTGAAAATAAGTTAAAACATTGTCTACAGGGAACAATTTTACCCCACAATTTCCATTTATTTGCTGAGCTTAACACATTGGAAAAAATAGAATTTAAAATATAAAATGTGGTTTAAATTTTGCACAGGCCACATTTTATGTTTTAATTCTTTTCCCCAATACGTCAAATTCTGCAAACAGTAATTGTGTATTAAAATGGTGGATGTGTTAAATTATTTTCGCTAAGAAAATAAACAAAACATGTAATGCAGCTGTAATTTCATCTTTGAAGAGATACAACAGCATCATGCATTTGCCTGCTTTGACCTTTCTGTGGAGCTGCTTTGTTAAAAATGTTGGCCTTACACAGGACCATGGGGGAGATGTGATGTTTTGTGTTGGTTAAAATGGCTGCAGGTGATGGAGGTCTGTGCTGCTGTGACTCATGGCTGGGCTCTTAAAGGTCATCTCTCTGTCTCTGTCTGCCCACCCTACTCAATCTGCTTTGATATCAGCTCTGTGAGAGAAAGTGTGAGAGAGCCACAGTACTAGATACAGCCACGCTGAAATGTGAGAGTGGAGATTCCAGTTGTTGTCCCTGGGTCTGCGTCTTTAGCATGCTAGTAAAAAATGGTTTCAGCACCTTCTGGGTCTTTGATGAGATTTTTGAAAAATCTGATTTACCTGATTTCCCCCAGAACCCAAATTTAGTCCAGTAGCTGAGATATGTTTGGTGTCTCAGGTTTGCTTCTCTTTGCACTGGATCTATGAGACTAAAGTAGCTGACAGTTAGTGGCAGAGTACTATACTGTACCAATTAGCCTTGTACAAACTACATACCTAGCACTCGCCTTAAGCTGTATGAAGTTGTTGAGAAATCTCAAATAGACTTGCTTATGTGGTTTTTGATGCTGTATGATATACTGTATGAAGTACAGACCAAAATCAGACTTTAGTATATCCGCTGTTACTGTTTTTAGCTATGCAGCATGCGTTTGTTTGTAGCTCTTGTCTGTGGCCTGTCTGGTTTGTTGAGCTACTCCTCAGAACAGAACAGTGACTATACAAAGTGATGCGTGTCAGCATCTAATAACCGACATATAGGCTCTAAATAACACATAGCCTTGAGCTCTGCTTTTCAGTGTGTGGCGACTCCCATTAAAATATAGTTGAGAGGCAGCTCACCATTGTCGAAGTGTTCACTTTCAATTGACATGATCTTGATCAGGCGCATCCATTTAATTGAAAGACCTGATGCATGACCTCCGTGAGCATGCACCGTCCTCCTCCACAATCACACGCCTGATTGAAAAATATCCACGAGGGGCTTGGATACTTGGCACCAGGTGTTTTTGCTAATTTCAGCCTAATGCATTCTGTTTGACTCTATTCCTCCATTTTATTTAGCCGGATGGTGGGACTCATAGTCACCTTTACTCTGGAATCTCTTGAAACTCTTTTAAAAATGTAATGAAAATATCATACACTTTCCTGGTCAGAGCCGCACCAGAGATTCAAAATAACATGTAATTGTGCCACGTTACTGAAGCACATTCTCCTTAATGAGATATGAATTGTGTCATAGGTTTTTAATTGGTGTTTTAATTAAAGAAAGTGATTCTGTGAGAACCGCAAGTATTAAACATTCTAAAATTTTGTTTTATTTTATTTGAAATAATTTTGTGCAATGGAGAAGGTCTTCTTCTTTGAACGTTGTCCAGTGCATAACAAGAGAATTTTCTTTTTATCATCACCTGGTTCACAGGGAATAATGATAAACCCCTGTCCCCGCTAAAATGATTCTGACATGAGCCATAACTGGTCTAATAAGATTTGTGATCAAAGCCGTTCTCAAGCCGCTCGGGGCTTGTTATCCATAGTAACTGGAAGAGAGTCTGCAGAGAGAGAGGACTCGATGCTTTATAAACTCTCTTTCTCTGATGCACAGGAGTACCAGGAGGCCACGCACCTGGAGCAGTTTGTGACTCGTTTTCTGCTGAAGGAGACGACCAGCCAGCTGCAGTCCCTCCAGAGTTCGCTGGAATGTGCCATGGAGACCACAGCCGAGCAAACCCGCCAGGAGAGGCAAGCCGCTGCGTCCATACACACACAGCAGTCTAGGGTTACAAACACCACTTATGGCAAACATGACAGCACATCCAGAGTGGCTTCACTTATTTCATTTCAAGCCAAACCAGTCAGGAAAACAAAGCAGAAAATTACACAGACAAGCTGACATTATTTCATATTTTACAGTACGTCCACCCTTTGCCTTTATTACAGCTTCCATTCTTTTTGGGATACCTTCAGTCATCAGTTTCTAGTTTTCAGCTGCAGGGATATTTTTCCACACCTCCAAAGTTGGTTGTATTTTCTGCTTCTTTTAAAGTGGAAGTAGGACACACAAAAGTAAATAGTGGTCAAATTAAATACTGATAGATTTGATATCCTTAGACTTGGAGGCTTTTGTGCAATCGTCTTTGAAATATATGTTTCCTGCTTTTTTCTAACACTGAAAAGTGAATAGCTTGTGCTTGAAGGCCATTTTGGAAATTAAAGAAATGGAAAGGGTGGTCTCTGACTTTGGCACAGTACTCTGTATAGATATACAATAGGTTTCATTTTCCTTTTAAGATTCTACTTACTTTTTGCTGCAGTGTTCTTACTAATCCTCATAATATCAAGGCAGGAGCACAATTTTGGGAATCTTTGAAAATGTCTTTAAAATAAAATACTGAAATATCTAATTCAGTCCTTTGGCTTTGACCCTTCAAATTGAGCTCATTTACATACCTTTGCCTTTGATCATTGTAGAGATGTCTCTAGAGCTTGATTAGTCCACCTGTGGCAGATCTAACTATCTGGAAACTGACAAAGACAAAATAATGAATGCCTTACCCAAGGTGGGAACTGAATACCATATTTGGGATTTATGATTTAGAAAGACACACCAGCCTCCATGAGATCCGAGAGCTCAGGACGAAAAACCAAGCCATGAAACTCTCTGTAGACCTCAGTGACAGAATTCAGGTGAACAGTCCAACTTTCAACTGCTAAAGTATTTGAAGTTCCCAATTCATTATTATGAAAAGGGAGAAGTTTAGAACAAACTGGAATGTTTGTAGAGACTGTTCAGCCGAGCCCTCGGTCAAGGGGGTAACCAAGAGCTCAATAGTCACTATAACAGAGTTTGAGAGATCCTGTGCAGAGATCGGAGACCTTGCCAGAAGGACAGGCATCTCCGCAGCGCTCCATCAATCATATCTGTGAGGTAGAGTGAGCAGACAGAAGTCACTTCGGAGTAAAAGACATATGACAGCCCACCTGGGGTTTGTCAAACTGCACTTAAAGCAGTCTGAGAGCAAGAGGAAAAACATTCTCTGGTCTGATGTGATAAAATTGAACTCTTTGGGCTGGGTGGCAATCCCTATAGTGAAACATGATGGTGGAAGAATCATGCAATGCGTACACTTCTCACTGGCAAGGACAAACAGTTCAGAATAAGTCTTAATGAATGAGTGAATGTCTTAGAATCGCCCCAGAAAGCCCAGTTTTGAACCCCATGGGAAACCCACTGGAGAGATGTGTAGAGAAGAATGTGAATAGACAGTAATTCACAGATTATCTCCAACCAGTTTGACAGAATTTGGAAGAACCTGCAGGAATAATGGGAAAAATAACCTAAATGTTATGTAATCCAGATGTGCAAAGCTGGTAAAGGCAAACCTGAAAGATTCTGCAGTAGACTGTAGTGGGGCTGGACAATTAATCGTATTAAAATCAGGATCTTGATTTGTTACTCAATGAAATTCTGTTCAAGACGAGCATTTGTTTGAGTATGAAGTAGTGCTGAAATGCTCACTGCAACACTGACCGCAGCGGGCACTTCACGGCCATTACCAGGCATTTCTGTTCTGTGAAGGTACAGCTAAGTGAAGCACGTTTTAAGTAAGAACCACCACACCACACTGTTGCCACTTCCCAAGTGACCCTGTGTTAGTGTGTCTGTCAGACTGGTTATGGTTGCCATGCTCAAAGGTTTAAGTGTAATTTTTAATGTTTGCTGTCACTTGTGTTCCATTTTGCTGATTTGAGGAGTTTTAACACATTTTAATTTTTGCTTGGGGAAAATGTAAATTTTGTATCAGTGCTTAATACTGAAACTACAACTAATATGGTTGTATGCAAAAGTTTGGGTGTTTACATGTTTTGTTGATTTTTTAAGTGAAAATAAGTTTACACATCATCTACAGAGAATGCAGTTACTGTTTATTTGCTGATTTTAAAACACTGAGAAAACAAAACCTAAAATGCGGTCTGTGCAAAAGTTATGGCACATTTCATATGTTTTAATTTTTAAAATATTTTAATCTCAGCAAATAAACTGAAGTTGTGCACTAATATTTGCAGAAAAATATCAAATTTAAGTATGTTTTCTGTATAGGATATGGTACCTCTTCTTTTTTTAATTTTTACTTAGAAAATCATCAAAACGGGGACTTTTTGTTGGATGAAAACCTCGTATCTCCAAAATGGTGACTTTACAGGAGAAAGAAAAAACGTTCTTTACAATTAATCCAAGTCAACAGAACTAGACTTTTTGTCCAAGTAATTTGTGGTCCATTCATCATGAAATTTACACACAAAGAAAAAGGCAACAGACATTTTCAAATAATGTCAAAAACTGAAAAAAAACCCTTTACCCTGTTCTTCGATGGTCAGGACCCCAACAGGACCACCGCAGAGCAGGTATTATTTGGATAGTGAATCATCTTCAGCACTGCAGTAGCACTGACGTGGTGGTGCAGTGTGAATGAACCTCCAGCAGTGCAGCTAGAGGTTCATTCACACTGCATATTTATTGTAATAATACGGGAAGTTGCGTATTTTTAGATGTGCCTGTAAGAACTGTGGTCTCCACTGATATCACCTGTATGAGTGTTGGCTGATTAGGGGTTTATAATCTTCCTCCAGAGCTCAGGTAGCGCTCATGTCTCTGACTCAGTGCCGTGTGGAGAGGGAGGACTGCAGGCTCTGTGGGAAACTGCTGCTTTTAGACTGCAGTTTAGAATGCAAAATGAGCTGTTTCATTCCAGCACCTGGATGATTGCATGGTTCAGAATGATGTGTTTGTGTGTGCATGTGTAAGAAAGACTGCTCCCACTTCCGTTTTTACCCTCCCACCTGAACCAGCTGTGGTGCTTCGGTCTACCTAAGCTCCAGTGCGAAGCAGCTGGCCTGTAGAAGTGATGAATGTTGCTGATGAAAGTTGTTGCTTGAATGCGAGAATGCATCCCTTTCAGTTTCACAAAGGGGAATGTTCAGGTTTCATAACTTGTGGCATCACGATTACTAAATTTGGCTCTCGTCAGAGTTGACGCAGTGTTTTTCCTCGTATCCATTCACATATGTTTAACCAAAGTCCCTCCAGGCGATGTCCCAAGCAGTCGTGTCCTCTGCATTCCAAATATCCTCTACACTTTTCATTTCCATCTGCAGTGCATAGGGAAATAAGTGTAGCTGCAGATTGAGACTGAATGTCCTTTTCACACGCAGCCGTGCCTCTCATGTTAACAGCCATTCAGAGCATGTAGAGGGCAATGATAGGGCTGAGCTGCTGCGGAGCTGCTCTCATCTCTTCCTGGGGCTGAGAGAGAGAGAGAGAGAGCCAGAGCCACACAGCTTCACAAAGGCCACTCCAAGAAGCTGCTCTCCTGTGGGTGCGTTCAGATACTCTTAAATCCACTCTACTCCTGTCTGCCCTCCAGCTTCACTCTGGGTCGTGGATTTTTTCAGTGCGTGAACATGGACAGTTAATGGTTATTTTCTGTAGAGCCAAGAAGGCAACTTTGAAGCTTGATTGTGAAAGGCATCACTGTATACCCTCTTCTTTAGCTTATTAAGTCCATGACATATGAAATGTTTGCTTTTAGTTTTTTTTATTGCTGTAATAACAACATGTTGTAATGCTGTAACCACTGAAAAATGAAAAAATGCTCTTAATGAATGAATGAATGAAAGTGAACTTGGACTAAGGGTGTGATATCAATTCACCATTCATTAGTTGTTCATTCAATCAAAAAGCAATCGTAAATAATGACATATCGATTCAATTCGATTCAATTCAATCAGGGATGCGTCATGGCCTTGCAAGAACCCTTGGCACAAGAATCTTTGACCCCTTTTACACCTGGTTACTTTATGCATCTTGACTATCAGGATTACATCTGTAAAGGCCAGAATAAAGCAAGTGTAAATGCACCCAAGATGCATTTAAAACAGATACAAATCCAATCATTCAGACCACTTCAGGGTAGCCTGAGACACATTTGAGCCACATGTTATAGCAGTGCAAACGCATCCGTCTCTCCAAGACACATTCGACAAACAAAACTCCTCCCCATGCAGTATGGCACAGGGCACATGATCCGTGTCTGTGAGGAAGATAATCATAGAGGACGCACACGGTTGGACTAAGCATAATAAAATACTTAATAGCAATATGGACAGACACTACTATACAGAACAAACTGCAGATGAAGAGGCTAAACATATAAATAATTGGAACTTGGTTGCTGCACAACGAGTGGATTTGCATATTCCGTCCCACACAGCGATTGGATTTCAGTCCGACTAACCAGAGACGCATTTGACCATCAAGTGTAAATGCATGTGGCTAAAATTTTATCAGAATACAACCCAGATACTAGTCACATGAAGTGACCATGTGTAAACTGGGTCTTTGGCGCCCAACCCCACCCCCACGCACTCCACGAGTTCTACTTAATAAAATAAAGACCTGAAAAATGAGGTTTTTTCAAACCAAATCGAGTCATAATGCAAAAAACTGGACTCTTATACACATGGAAATGGAAATGCTAACATCTCATTTGAACGGCAACAGCAAAATCCCATGAGTTAATAATAACTGAAAATAGAAAACAGACCAGAAAATAGATTTATTTCATTTGATTGATTAAATTTATTTTGTCATTCGTACATATTCAAGGGGTATTTGTTCATTTAACATTTATATCTACATTGGATTGTATTTGAGCAATCTCTGGCCTTTTGGAGTCTGAGGC